GCTATATAGTGAAACTCATGCTGGAATAAGACACAGCTTTAGGAACATGTTATGTCTAGATTCTTGATGATATACAGTTCATGTTCACTGTTACTTCCGCAATAGACCCCATAGGTATACACATATATGAGAGTCGTCCGAAAGGTCGTTGTATTGAGCTATGAAGGGGACGACCTTTTGGTCTTAGCGTTGACCTTCGCGAAAGTTCCGCGAAGGGGGTCGCGATTTTTTTTTCCGCGAAAGTTTTGTGTGGCTTGCTAACAGGAAGCTGGAGTGATGAACCATGTGTATCTACTGGCAGTGCGCGCAGAATGCCCGCAGAGTAAAGTTGGTCGGAGAATGCGCAGCCTGAGGGTCGCCGCAAGAATACGCCGCTGCAAGAGCAACCCCCAGCCAGCAGAAACCAGCTTCTGGGAGTTTTGAAGCTGTCGGGGCAAGCTGAGCGCAACTTCCAGCCGGATTTTCGCGAATGTTTGGCGTAAGATCCGCGAAAGTTTCGCGAAAGTCGACGGACCTCCCCGCCAGTTTCCGGACATGAGGCCAACGGGCCCTCTCATGCGCAGCTTGCGGCTTGTGAGCTGGAGCTGCGGAAGCGCGCTTCGCGTGCTACTTTGGAACTGAAAGGTCGCGACTTTCGAGCTGGGACTGCGGAAGTTCACTTTGTGTACTACTTTCGTATTGAAAAGCTCTGGCTTTCGAGGCTGAGGAAGTTTAGTTCGTGTACTACTTTCGCATTCAAGCACTGAAGAGCTGCGACTTTCGCGAAAGTGTACTTCGTGTACTACTTTTGTGATGAATGTTCTGAAAACAGCCCCGCGAAAGTTCCGCGATGGGGTCCGCGAAAGTTAATTTTTTTCTCGCGAAGATGGCGGTTTCCGGAACAAGGAATTTCAGACAACCGTCATATGTTCCAGGCCGTGGACCTCCCTGGTTGGGTGGTTGGGTTGGGGTGTGGTTTGGGTTTGTTTAGCGTTGGTTTAGGGTTGGTTTATGGTGGGTTTAGGGTGGGTTTAGGGTTGGCTTAGGGCTGATGTAGGTTTGGCTTCAGGTTGTTTTAGGGTGGGTATAGGGCTAGTGCAGGGTTGGATTGGGGTTGGTATAGGGCTAGTTCAGGGTTGGTTTAGGGTTGGTTAAGGGGTGGTTTATAGTGGGTTTAGGTGGGTTGGGTTGGTTTGGGTTGGCTTAGGGTTGGTTTAAGGTTGACTTAGGGTTGGTTTAAGGTTGACGTAGGGTTGGTTTGTTGGTTCGGGTTATGAGTTAGGGGCGTAGGATTGGTTCAGGGTTGGGGGTTGGGTGTTGGTTCTGGGTTGAGTTGTCCTACGTGTCAGGCTGCAAGGGTGCGAGTTCAGGGGCTCGAGGGGGTCTACCGTAGCAGCGGGGATCCGGGTGCTCCGGGGACCCTACGGGGGGGGGGGGGGGTGGCCTGGGGACTGGAACACACACACAATCACACACACATATATATATATATATATATATATGTATGAGTATGTGTGTGTGTCATATTGGGCAAAGTCCCACAATATCATTCTATTTTCCTGTGTTAAACCGTGTTGAATATCCAAGGGATATTACATGACACCCTAGTTGTTTTTTCTCCAGGGAATTATCCCGTTCAAGGATGTTTTCCGCAGAACGTCTGCATATTGTTGGATTGTTCCTGGAAAATGTTCCTAGAGTAATCCCAGTGTAGTAGAACCTCCCTCAGATATTTGCTTTGTGGTGCTACATTGTGAAATATTGTGAACATTAACTTGCAACGATGTCCTAAAATTGTTTGTGGAGTCTTGGATTTGTTTCAGGAGTTGCCTGAGGGTTACTATAGTATGATTCGTTGCATAGTATTAGGTTTACACACCGTAACATCGTTGTATACGCTATTGTTGCGTATGGTGGTGTTCATTCTAATTAGACATTCTACTGTTTGGTGTGTGTGTGTTCGCGCGGTATTTGCATTTTAATGGTGCGTCATTTGCCCCTCCGCTTGTGTGTATCTGGGAAAGGCTTGTGAACGCTATATCTTGAGCTTTGGATTTTGTATGCCAACCACAGTTGTTTCTTTCAATTGTTGCTTACTTCTTTTTAGCAGGTATAGCATTTATCGGCTTTGCTTTGCTTGATCGACATTTGTTTATGTGAAGTTGTAGTAATTGCACACTTACTGTTTCCGCACCATCTTCAATAGAATGGCTTTGTGGAAGACATCACGTTAACAATCCAACAGTGCAAAAGGCCCAACCTCCCGGCATACCACCTTCAAAGTTGCAACTTTGCTCTTGGTTCCATTGCGGCTTTGGTTGGACCATTCCAGTGGTAAAGAACATATATAATGTTTCTTTGTCCGACCAATCCACTCGATCGGAGGTGAGATTTAGTCAACCTCTGAAGGTTTGAGGGCATCTCATAACTGGGCCGGAAAAGGGGTATCCGACTGTTTAATTAAAGCAAGGCATCGCCATGACCTCAGAAGGTGTTGGCGCAATGTGTGATTGCTGCCCAGTGCGTTGGCAGCTTCTATTTGCTTAAGAACATGTTGTTCGTTTTACAGGGAATCTATCACTGCTGGACATACTGTGGATGGACGAAACCCTGAACTACTTCGAAGCATGGGAAACCATATCGTTTGTTGGTATTTTCAGGGGAATGATACTTCCAGGGCTTCTTAGGTGGTGCAGGATTTCGTCCACCCACAGTATGTTCTCGTTTTCTTTTTTCTCCTCCGGGGGGCGAAGACGCGAATGGACAGGTTGACCCTGGACCGGACCACTCCGGGCAACACCTTTGATGGTATCGGCGGCCTGTCGGGCGGTGGCGCCACAAGCGCTGCCCGGCGCGGATCGAGTTTATGGCCCACCGCAGGGGTCGTGAGTCATGACCCCAATGCAGACCCCAGCGACCCTATACGGGAACCCCATAAGCCCAAGCCCCCCAGAAACAAGCCGCTTTCTGGCCCCGAAATGAATCGGGACACCTGAGAACCCTGTCATTTTGTGGGTACGGATCAAGAAACCAGGAGTCTTTGGACCTCACTTCACCAGTTTGTGGACTCAACATGGTTTATCCAACTCCCCGAGTTCATGGACTTTTGTCACTTTTTGGGTTTGGAACATTTTGGTGGCAAACCCAAAGTTTGCACAAAGTGTGCTCCTTTTTTTGGCCAGTCCACTCAGGAAGTGAGCTATTGACTGGCCCACTGCCAACAGTGGAGGAAGTCTGTCTATTTTATTTGTATTGGTTGCGAAAGAAGGCATAACACAGCGACCTCTTGGAAGACTACAATCTGTTTGGAAAACGGGTCCTGTGCGCGGTCCATTTTAGTGATAGGGAGGGGGCGCTGTAAAAACCATACTTGGTCATGATTGTGAAAGAGTGAAGTGCCAGGATTTGCTGTGCCAGGTTTCAGATTTTGTGTTTCCCGACCCTTGGCTCATGGCAAGAAAGCAATCTCACGAATGACAGAACAACGACCCAGCGCCAAGTGTCGCCCTTTCCTCTTTCGAATCAACTACCCCAAAACAGGGTGCCCTTTTCCTTTTCATGGCTAATGGGGGGGGGGTCTGGGGAAGCTTTCGGACATCAAAGATGGAATGCAAGCACTCAAGCGGCGAGTCTTGGTTTTCATGTCGTAGATGCTGTCGTTAACAGCGGGGAAGCTTCCCCCACGTAACCTGCGGCAGCGCGTTTTCTCAGCGCGAACTCAGCGACTGTTTCCATGGTGTGTCCTATGTGGCGCTCAGGTTCTGCTCCCGGACTATGCAGAGCCGTCCCGCTCGCAGAGCCATGGCAGTTTGACATTCTCCGGCGAGTTTCCTTGCTCTTCACCCAGAGGTTTCGTTCGCATTTACGGATGGGCGCGTTGGTTTTTGTGTGCAACAATGCCCCCGAAGAATATTTTTGACTGAGCGAGGGGCGTCCAATTTTATGATGTCCAGTTATGCTGCTCGCTGGTTTGCGATGTCCGCAGTGTTCATCGGTTGGCAATTAGCAGTCCAGCATCACCATGGTCACCATGGCATCGGTTTGACAAGTCACCCACCAAAGACAGGGCCAGCCCTCTCTGCTTCTTGCTCCCGAGCTCTGGGGATAGAACGTCCTTGTCGGGGATCCCTTTCTGGAGCTTCAGAACTCGCAGATTGGAGGTTTTCCGTCGCCAAGCTGGGGTTCGAAGCTCCGAAAAGGATTTGGCGTCCCGTGTTTTTTTTGTTGCCGATGGTTTCCGGCCGTTTGCCGAGCAAAACGGGGGTCGAAATTAAACCACCAGACAACCGCAGGTAGTCCGAGTTTCCATCCACCAGGGTTCCATTTTGGGTACATATTTTTCACCCACCGCCAAGTCAGGATCTTGGACTACCTTTTTAAGCCCAACTTCGGGGCGTCCTTGCAGATCCTGAAGGCCCCGCGTCTCGACTCGACTCGGACGCGTTGCGATCTCGGGGAGGCTGCGTGCCATGTTGGCCCGAGTTCTCAAGGCCCACGGGCGCGCAACACTGTGGATGGACGAAATCCGTTCGCACCACCTAAGAAGTGCTGGAAGTATAAGTCCCCTGTAAATGCCAACGAATCGAGATGGTTTCCCATGGTTTCAAAAGTGGTGCAGGATTTCGTCCATCCACGGTATCATTCCCCTGGCGAGTTTTTTTCTCCCCCTTGCGCCGAGAGGTCCAAAGGCCAGTCGCCTTTTTGGAGGCACCGCCTTGCAGCTTTCGCCGGTTGAGGCATGTCGATCCCTCTCCACACACTCATGACACGCAGGCATTGCGTGCCAAGTCAAACGAAAAGAGAGGACATGGCTGTGGGTCAAAATTAAACAAGCAGGGGACCGCAGATTTTAGTTCATATTTCCATTTGCCAGGGTTGATTTTTGGGTACCCATTTTTGACCCACAGCCACATGTATGCAGCATCGCGCCAGTCTTGCCATTCGCAGTTGGTCATTCAGGAGAAGAGGGCCAGCCGTTGCGCGTGTTGAGGGTCTGTTGCGGGCTGACAGCGAAGTGGCCCATGGCGAGCGTTTCCTTGCCCAGCGGAAAACAGCTGCTCTCGCAGGGGGAATTTGCAAAATGGTGGGAGGAGCAGCGCGAGCTGCGCGAGAAGGGTCTTTGCTTTTTCGATGCGCTGAGGAAGCACCTAGCACAGCTTATGGGCCTCAGTTTCAGGCAGTTGGGCTTGGCGGGTGGCACTGCGACTTTGGGGCCGGACAGCCCTTGGGACAACTCGCGGCCACTTGCGGCGGTAGTGCGGCAGCAGATGCAGCTCAGTCAAGCGGACTATGCTGAGCTGTTGGGAGCAGCTGACGTTGGGCATGAGGAGAAGGTGCTTGAGTTCTTGGACATGCCGTGCCAGCCTGACCCAGATGATCTGTTCACCACATCAGCTTTGCATGTTGCTGCTGGCCGTGGGAATTTGCAGCTTGTCCGCAGCTTGCTGGAAGCTGGGGCGGACAAAGACCGGGATGATGGTGGCCAGTATTTCTTTGGTGACAACTTGCGCCTGAGCATGACTCCATTGGGCATTGCCGCTCTCCGAGGACAGGAACAGGTTGTCGAATGCTTGCTGGGAGCTGGCGCTGACGCCAAAAAGGAGGACGACCACGGGAAAACGCCTTTGACGCATGCTGCCTGGAATGCACGCATGACAATAGTGCCGATGTTACTTGCAGCTGGCGCTGAGTTTGACCACAACAACACAGATTTGATTGGTGCTGCGTCGTATGGGCGCACCGCATCTGTCCGCTGCTTGCTGATGGCGAAGGCCGACCTGGACGTGGCGCGCCCGGACGGAGGGACAGCGCTGGCCTGCTCTGCTGGCGAAGGGCACTGGGATGCTGTCCATGTCCTGCTAGCGGCGATGTCAGGGCAGGACAGGGCTGAAACAGTACTTGATTGCTATTGGCTTGGATCTTTAGATTTTCACTTTTTGAGAAACAGAGGTTTTTCCATTGGACCCACACAGAGTTAAGCTATTGGCAGGCCAACAGCAAACCAAGAATCTGCATCAAGACACCACAGAGCGAGTGCCATGATAGCGTGAAAAACAAGAAGTTCCCGGACCCGGACTTGGTTTGGGCCATCTTGGGCCACTTTCGCGGTAAATAACCAGCTCCTGGACATTTTGTTCGGCCCAGCTCGGCCAGCGAGACCGCAACGCACAGCGAGGAGGACGCCGAAACCAAGATCCGCGCCGCCGCCGCCTTCGTCGAGTCCATCGACAAGCCCGCGCACGCCCGGCGACTGCGGCTGCTGCGCGGGGCGAAGGTAACGGTTCGGGCGAAGCTGCGGAAGCTTTGGCTCAAAAGTCGATAGGTGAGAGCCAGGGCGACCATCCTTTGGTGCATTTTGCCAAGGGATGTGAGGACTTTAACTTTTTGCCAACTGATGGGCTTTCCGAATTAAACCACTAAAAGTTAAGCTTTGAGCAGGGGAGCAGAAAGCAACCGAGCATCGGTAACCAACGGGTTTTCCATTTCGCAGTGTATGAGGATTTCGACCGACCGCGTCTCAAGTTTGCTGGGTCTTGAGAGCGTCTCAGCTTTCCTTCTGTGGATGGACAAAGTCCATTTCGCACCACCTATCAAACCCTTGGCATAATGATTCCCCTGTAAATATCAACAAGTAATCGGTTCCCATGGTTTCTTAGGCGGTGCAGGTTTTCGTCCATCCATAGTAGGTCCCTCAGCTGGGTGCCCTTCTCTCCCAACTTTTTTGGCTGGGAGGGTTCTCTATACTACAATAGACTAAGCATGGGTGTTGTTTCTCGTTTTTCCCCGACATGGCTGTGACACCCACAAGGGTATCTGAGCTCAGTTGCGCGCTTTGCAGAGAAAGGGGGATGCTCAGAAAATCCCTGGCAAATTGGGGCTGTCCAATTTGGGCGGTCGGAAGCTTGCTGGTTTTCGGCCGGGAATGAGAAATGAAATGACCCCTACAAGCCATCCAAGTGATGATTTCCTTAAAGGGGAGTCCCGCGTTCATTCCCACATTCCCTACTTCCATTTCTCATTCCCTACCTATGGCACCAGCAAGCCAATCGAATTTAGATGAACGACTTCCCTGGAGTCTCCATGACCATTCTAAAATGGGTCGTTGCCCAACATGGGGCCATGACCCAATTTTCTACTGGTCATGGAGACTCCAGGTGATTACGGGCCACATTCCAGATCTCCGATTGAACGGGGCTTGGGAAACCGTTCCTTGTTCCACCTGCCGGGCTTCATGCGCACCCGGAACCTCGAGTTTGACTTTGAGCGGGGGATCTGAAAACGACAGCCCAAAGTACCCCAGCAGCTCATTGCTGGTGCTGAGTGGGGAATGGGAAATGGAGTGACCCGTATAAACTATCCCTTGCTGGTGGTTCCCTTTAAGGGGACGAAAGCCTTGCTTCATTCCATTTCTCATTCCCTACCCATCGCACCAGCAAGCTATTCAAATATCGATGAAACGCCTTCCCTGGAGTCTCCATGACCCTTCGTCATGACATCCCCACCCACTAAACAATGGAATTGGGGACGGAAGCGACCCCGGGAATTTTATTTGTGGTTCCATTTTCCCTTTTATGGGAAATACTAGGGAAATGGCATTGGGGACCGAAGGAGGGGGGATGACCCCATGTAAGGGTCATGGAGACTCCAGGTGGCAATTTGAGGGTTCCCAAATTAGAAACAAAGCCACGTGCGAGGTTGGTAACCATGGACCCTCGACTGCCCAGTGTCCCCCGAGTGATGTAAGGGAAACAGAGCGATTTTTTGTTCTAAGGGCCAGGGAGACTCCAGGTATTTACTGTAGACTATTTCGGCCAGTTCACCCCAGAACGCCATTCTAATCAAATTGAAGCTATTCTCAGTTGCCCAGTGGCGCCTTTTTACCTTTTTTTTTTGAGAAGGGTTCCCCTTTAAAGTCAACCAACCACACAAGAACGCCCTTTTTTCCCATGCCTACTCGGCATCTGAGTATTTCGGCCCTGGTCGAAAGCTTCAACACTTGGGTCAGGTGGAAATCGGCGGGGATTCGCAGTCCACGGACGGGACTGAGTCCAGCCACATGCACGATGGCGGCAGCCTGAGAGTCTGAGAGTCTGAGAGTGGGTTTGTCTGGAAACAGGGAAACCACAAGGACACCTTCCAATAAGTCATGGATTCAAAAAGAATCCAAGGAATAATAAATGGTGTTATTGCTCGAAATGGAAGGTATTGCCCAACGTAAATACCAACAAACTTATGGTTTCACCATTGTTCCTTAGGTGGTGCGAATTGGTTTTCGTCCATCCGCAGTAGGTTGGAAAGGGAGACCGCCAGGAAACCTCTCATTGTAGGGTATGGCTTCTTTCTGGCTATTTGATCGGATCTTTGGACTTCACCTTTGTGCGAAACAACTCGGATTTTCCATTGGGACCATAAAAAGCAGATGGGTCAACAGCAACCAAGCTTTGAAGGGAATCTAGTGCTGCTGTTTTTGTTCTTTCCAGGGGGCTTTTGTGCAATTGGGGGTTCTGGGAAGCACGAGGACACCACGCCAATACCAAACCATGGTTGGGTGTAGGACACGAATGGAGGGACCTTGGGATAAAGATGCGGTTTCCTTTGGTTTCCCTCAACCACAGACAAGTGGTCCTGAAGGAAAGGCATGGTGCGTGGGAAATTGGGTGGGTAAGGCACACCTATAATATGATGTTTCTAGAGGCATGGTCGTGAAACATTGGGGTTTGCGTTCGATGACAAGTTGGAATCCCATGAGGACGGCTTCTGGGCCTGGCTCTGAGGGGGGTTTATCCTTCTTGGGCAATGAAGGCAAGGAAACCGAAAGGAAACCTACCCGGTGACCCAAACTTAAGGGGTCTTGACCCCATTTTCTACGGGTCATGGAGACTCTAGGTAGGGCCGGATGTGCCCCGCTTCTCTCAAGGCCACTTTGGAGATTTGACACTGTCCGGCCACGAGGGACGCCCCCTACCTGGGAAATGATGTTATGGACCAAGTGCTCAATCAATTGTGATTGTTTGGGCTTGTTCCCGGATGTTGAGTCAAATGTCGTCCGGTGCATGGAGTGCAGAAGTTCCCCCAGAAGCTCACGAGGCAGCAACATCGATCTTCACACTGGCTACGAGTGGTGGCTGATGAAGGAGGTGCCCGGCTGCTGACAGGGTTCCAGTAGAAGGATACATCCCAAACCATCTGCTTTACAAGGACCCGGATCCTTGAAATCAGTCGGTATGTCGGAAATGGCTCACAGGCCCAAATCCTTCAGAAAGGACCTGTTCACCCCTCCGCCCCTTTTGCCAAGGACCTGAGGTCCAAATATAAATATGGATTCGGACAACCTCACAGAGTTCCATGCGTGTTTCTACCCAATGGTTCCCTGGCAACGGGGAGAAGTCTTGGGAAGGGCGCTTGTTCCACAACGCTCAGCGGCAGGACCAACAGGAATCATATGGCCATGGGGCGCATAACCTATGGCGATCCCATTTTGGGGTGTTTGGGTGGATGAACATCCATTTGCCACCTATCTTGATGTTCATCAGGGGTACGGGGTTTTGACCCAGAGCCATATAGATATAACATACACATAGAATATATGTGTACTGTGTGTTGCTTGGAAGGACCGAAGGGTCGGACCTTAAAGTTGACCGCGTGCAGTGAGCTCGCGGCACGTTCTGTCCGGTTGAAAGTGGGAAAGCAAAAGCAAAATGGATCCTGCGTTCTCAGAAAGGATCGGGGCTGCTTGTGTGTGACCATTGCTTCACCACCCCAAGCTCAATCCAAAAGTGTGAGCAAAGAAGAGTTTAAGCTGAAGCTCGTGGTCTTGTCACTGCCGGCCCAAAGAAGAGTGACAGACAGCAGACTCTCCAACCGTGTTTTCTATGTTTGCTTGTCTGGGTCCCAACATGAATGTCGTGAGCGGGTTCAGAATTTCTTTTGGGGTAGAACAAGGAAGTACACAGGGCCCTAAATACTGCAAGTAGGGAACAAAAGGTAACCCTGTACGTTCAAATGGTTTGTGGTGGGTTTACTTGCAATATTTAGGATATCCACCGTAGCCCATGTGTTAAAGGGGCTCCAGAAAATTGTGGTCTCTGTGGCTTCCCTTCAAAACAACATGAAAGGGGCACCCTTCCGTAGAGGAAACTTCTTTGCTGAGGCGCCAGGTTAGTGGGAGGAAGGGGAATGGGAACCCGGGATCTGAGTTACGTTTCGTTTCAATCACACACACACATATGCACGCACGCACACACACACAAAGAAACGCAAGCAAACAAACAAACAATCAAACAAGCTCGAACAAACAACCAAACAAACACGGACAAACAAGCAAGCAAGCAAGCAAGCAAAGCAACAAACCAACAACTCCACATGCAAACGCACAATCACACACACAAATACACAGAGAAGCAGGCCCATATACCCAGACCGCACCCAATTGGATGGTGTTTGCCTTCCAGGCCAAGAAGCGAAACCCAGAGATCAAGCTCTACGGACTCGCCTGGGCCTTCCCCAATTGGGTGGGCCCCTTGACCGAATCGGATTCCACAGCCACATGCTATCCAACCGATTCGATTCGGTAGATGAAGGTTGAGGGAGAATCCCCTTGCCAGAAATAGATCCGATGATCTCCGCCTTCTCTTTGGTGCATTTTGCGAACGGCTGTTAGGACTGAACAACTTTTTGATCCAACTAATGGGTTTTCCACCAAACCACTAAAAGTTAAACTTTTAGCAGGGGAGCAGAAAGCAACCGAGATAAAAGAGCTGCGGATATCCGCCTTCTTGGGGTAGACCATTTTACGACCGGGTTTTGAGTATATTTTGAGGCGTTCCGGTTCTCAAGAGGGTTTTGGGGCATGTGGAGATTCGTCAGTCTTGGGGAACAACCAGGAACAACCAGCTTTAGTCCATGTTTAGCCAAGGTTACAAACAGGTTTTCCGGTTTTAGCCCATGTTAAGTCAAGGTTCCGAAAGGTGATCACCAACCGAGCTGTTCCACACGCAGGTCACTTGGGTCCACTTTCCTACTGTAGCTCCGATGGGGCACGTGACACGCTCACAGTTCGGAAGGGGGTTACTTAGCAACTTCTCATGTCACTTGGGGGACACAATTACTCTTGCCGGGAGCGCATGCCCTGTTTTGGATTCGCTTGCTCCCTTTGGAATGATAAGCTGGTTACAGGGTTGGTCCACGTTGGTTGGTATCACGAAAAAGTCGGATACTTTCCACAGCGACGGGTATGTGTCCGGTTTACGGCCAAGTCAATTTTGGCTGAAGCAGGAAGGTGTTAAAGTTTCACCATAGCCCCCCTTCGTGCGGGATCCCTGTTGATGTTGCTCACTAAACACGGGCCATTGGACCTGTGAGTTTGGGTGCAAAAGCTGAGCTCGGTGTCTCGGATCCCCCCAAAAATCCTTTTCTGGCAGTCTTTGGGCTGGGACCATGCCAGGTAAGTGAGATGCCTGGGTAGTTACCACGGTAACCCACAGGGGGGCTTACAAGTCTCTTCACTGCTGTTGGGTTAAGTTGTGTTGGTTGTTTGGTTGTTGGTTCTGTTCATTTTTGGTAGGGGGCTGCACAAGAAGCAATACTTTTTGTTCCCACACCAAGGGTTGTGAAGATCTTACAGCTATCTAAAGTGAACTTTTAGCCCATCGTACCTAGCCACTTTCAAAGCATCCTTCGCGTTCAGCAGGACGTACGGGAACCACCAACACATCACGTCGAACAGAAATCCATTGGAAGGGGTCGATTCCCATATCACCCGTGGGCCGCTAACAACTTACTGACTCCCAAAACGGTTTTCCAAGACATCACTCCCAATCCCCGGACCATACTCCGGCAAAAGTGGTACCCTTCTTCTACCGGGGTCACTGGTTGCAACTGGGTCAACCCGCGCAGGTAGCCGTGCTTACTCACCACCTACTAAGAACCCCGCCCTTTTGGAAGACAGCGGCAGGTCAGTTTTTTTTCTCCAGTTTCACACACCACCCTTCAGCTTCACCCCAGTTGGCTTGGATTGCTGGTTTAGTGGTTTGGGGTGGTGTCCCATGTACCCTCTACAAGAACCAGTGGTTCAACTCCAAATCCACCAGTCCACCAACCAAGGGCAACCTGAACCCGCAAGCCCGAGGCAACCTGAGCGGGGACCCTTTCAAGTTCCCGGAGCTCACTGCGCGGTACCTGGTGGAGTGGGTGGCCGGCGCGAAGTCGGAGTATGGGCCGCTCGACTTGACCTGGCCGTGGGAAAATTGCGGATGGGTGAAATCCTGCAGCAGTTTGTAGGCGGTTTATCCCAGTTTTTGGTGGGGGGGGGCCCCCGGGGGGGGGGGGGGGGGGGGGGAGAGAATCAAACAAAAAAAAAGCTAGCAGCTAGAGAGGGAAAACGGGTTTGATTTGGGAACAGAAGTTGACATACTTTGCTGCAAACTGATTTCCTACGGACATGTGCACACCACCCCGTTTTGGCGGGGTTCTTCTAGCAGGGGAGCCAAAAGGACACCTCGGGGTCTACGTGGCCGTGCAGTTCCTTTTTCGGAGCTGTGAGTCGTTGTTGGTACGCTCGGTTCCTGCAAGGGGTGCGTCACTTTTTGGAGTTGGCACCGTTTTGTTAGAAACAGGATCCAGTCACAGGAACAAAAGCATGGCGTCCCTCCTGCTGCTGTTGTTTTTTGGTGTTGGTTTCAAATTGGGTACAAACTCCCCTTCTTGCTGGGTGAGTTCCCCACTCAAATGGTCAGCCCAAATAGAGGTTCCCTTGTCTACCAGGTCACTGGACCACTGCGAACAGACCATGTCTTTCTTGACCCCTCGTTCCAGGGCCATTAAAATTGCCCCCGATAAACAAACCCCTCCATTCATCAATCAGGGGCCCTCCGTATGTGTTCGGGTGGTGCATTTCTGTAACCAGACATCTGCATTTCTATGACTGGTCTTGGGTCTGACCACATCGGCCCTTAGACCTTTGAAGCCTACAACACCCAGGGATTCCGTCAAAGGAAACCACCAGTTGGATGGTTTGTTGGGGGTCATTCCCTACTGAGCACGAGCTAGGTCCCCGTTACCCTTTTTGGGGGAGGGTTCCCCTACTAAAATTATTTTAACCTCCCGGGAGGGTTCCCGGAGTTTTGCTCAGGGCTTGGAGCAACCGAGATTGAGCTGCCAGGCTGGACATCGACTACCTGGGCATCTGGAACGAGAAAGCCTCCGACAGCAACTTCGCTGGGAGCCCCAGCATGCCATTACCAGATCTTTGGTGGGTTTAGCAGACCTAGAAATTTGGAGTTGGGTCCCGACCAAATTGCCAGGCGGAGATTACGGTAGAACTTTTTTGGCTTTCCTTCATTTTTTCTTCACAACCAGGTTGCCCATGATATTAAAATCCTGGGGGGGGGGGGGCAATTGTTCTAAGTTTTCGCCGGATGGGAACTCGGGTCTTCCCTGCACCCCATCCAAGGGAATCCGAATCGGTTTCAGAGGAAACAGCATCCCCCCCCCCAAGAAAAAATATTATCGATGGTTGATTTATTTGTCGATACTTAGGTCCGGAGTTCATCGCTTGCGGCTTTCGGATATATATATATATATATATATATATATATTCCCAGGTTCTTTCCTCTTTTCTTTTTTTGGGGATCCGACCGCCAAAGAAAAGGCTTAGCGCACCATCGACCGAAGGTGCAGGTGCTGCGGAAGACTCTCAACGGCCGTGGTCATGAAGGATTGGTCCGTTGAAAGGATCGCTACAGTCACCTACCAATGTTGTCCTAATCGAAATGACCTACCCTCCCTCCCACAAGCATTGCAACTGACAGGGGGTCCCTTCAAAAGGAGTTCAATCTTTCAGGTAATAGAGGAAGGGTATTTTGGAATTTGGGTATGGGTCAAAATTAAACCGCCAGGGGACCTTATAGGTTTTAGTTTTCCTTTCCATTTACCAGGGTTCCATTTGAATTACCCATTTTTGACCCACAGCCATTCTGGTGTTCCAGGTTTTACATATTTTTAGCCAAGGTTCGAAAAGCTGGTCACCTTTGATTTCCAGGTCAACTGAGGTCAAGTGAGTGCATTGCGGGTTTGAACATTTTCTTAGCCAATCCAAAGTGAATTTCCTGAAAGGTGATGTTTCAAGGGGAAATATAGGCCCCTCATAATTGAAGGCTGGACAGCTGAGGTAAACTGTGGGTGTTTGGCACGGCTGCCCTGGATTTTTGTATTGCTGTCAGAGTGGGTTTTCGCCAGCACCTGGGCCCAATGTACAGTGGACGCCAACTCAATATTGCAAGTAAGCCAACAACAAACCATCATTGAATTCCCAAAGTTTTCCTTGTTCCCTGCTTGCAATCTTTAGGGCATCAACCTTACCTCACTTTGACCATGTTTGTTTGCGTCAAGCCTTCTGCGTCCGGGCAAAGGGCTTGGCTGGGCCCCCCACATCTAAGCAGAACTACGGGGGAAACCCTCCTTGGACACCTCCATCTGATTTATTCGTCCGGGGTTCCCATGAACTGATGCGGTCGCAAAATGGAGGTACCTCGAAAATGGCAAGGGTGTCCCTTTCTTGCTCTTTCAGCCACAAAAGGCGAGCCACCCATGGCTCATGTAGCCAGGGTGTTTGGAACTACTGACCCTAGCCCCTCCCTCTAGCCAGTTGGTCACACGAGGTTCCACATTGAAGGTGCCATGTCATAGTGGCTGACCTTTGAACGAGATCCACGAGGTTCATGTCAGTTCAGTGGATGGGGGATCCTCCGACCATCCCCCAGTTGGAGGCGTGCTCGAAGTGAAGCCCTGCATTTGTTGCAGGATGTTTCAAGCACGGCTTTGTGTTTGTTGAGGGATGTACCCTTTTCAGGTTACGTTTTAACGGGAAGCCAACAGGAAGCCCATCATTTTGTGGGCCCCCCATTTTGATACATACCCAAGTGCACAACTGCACTGCCCTGACTTCATCCCTGTCATTCATGCTGGCTCCAGGAACCAAGCTGGTCGTCAAGGATGGCGGCCTCGACATTTGCGATACCCTGTTGAAGGACGCGGCTCCTGGGTGCAACGTCAATGCACCAACCATAGCTTTGGCACATTTGCGAGATGTGGAGATGTGGTGCGTAAGTTGCTTGAGAAGGGTCATGTTGACCCGCCCCCCCCCCCAAAGGAAAAGCGAATCCCTCTTTAAATAGAAGCCCTCTCTCCCTATCAGTCAGTTGGGCAAACCTTCTGCAAGCGGCTCCGCTAGGGCCTGTCATGTGAGGTGACCGCAAAAAACGCGAACTCTGCTCTGATTCAACTTCTGCATGGCAAATCACCACTTGGCCACTTGGCTTGCTATGAGTAGCATTCAGGCTCCTTTCTCGGAGTCAAAAAAAGGCTCTGGCTCCTGTCTCGGAGTCCTTGTTACTTCCCCCACCTTTTCCTCGTGCATCCAGGCGGACCTTTTTTCGCCACAGCGCACCTGCCCCGCCTAAAAAAAGCGCCCGAACGGCTCCAGGACCAGAAGTATGCGGACGCCGTGGACATCGTGGGTCTGCACTATCCTTCAGACTTCGCCGATTTCTCCGCGCCGTGGCAGAGAGGTGCACAAGGGCCCACTCACGGCCGGGAGGTGCCCCGCAACTCCCCCCCCAAAAAAAACGAAGGAGGTTCCCTTTAAAGGAACATCGCACCCTGCAGGCCTCATTAAACCCCCAAGCAAGTGATCGAATCATACCTTGCAGGCTTTGCAAGTTGCGGTTTTCGGAAGCGACGGGCAATTTGAACTTGGCACGTCTTAAAATGAGGGAGGGCCCCGTTTGGCAAACCAAGGAGACCAGGAGCAAACCAAGCTCTTGGAGTCTCCCTCGCGGTCCCTGAAGTCTCAATAAAGCGGAATGCATGTTTGTTGTTGGGAAGCATCTTACATTTTGCTTCTTGTGGTTTAGTGAGAAACCCCCACTTAACTGAGTGCTGATATATATTTTTTGCTGGCGAATCCATCTTTTGACCACCCGGTTTCCGCGTACCGAATTTCGGTTCGGGTGGGCACCTGCAGGTCGCTTGGCAGGCGATGGAGTGAGTGGATCCTTTTGGACTTGCGGAAACTCCAACGGGAACCGTTCCTTTGATTCACACACCTGGTTTGTCCCACTTCTTGGGCACACCCCAACAAATTGGCATCATAAAACGTTCAAATGATGTCCACCCCCCCCCAAAAAAAAAAACAAATAAAGAAATAACGCACAAAAAGAAGCGCATCAACAACACCCCTGCCCATGTTTTTTGCTTTTTTTGCCGCACCTCGCCACCCCCCCCCCCCCAAAAAAAAAAAAAAAAAGGAAGAAGGAATGCACAAAAACGAGGGCGCGCCCGCCTCCTTTGCGCGCCAGCGGCCGCGGGAGAAGCCCAGCCTCGAGCCTCAGCCGAGGCCTGCCGCAAGCTGGGGAAGCCGATCTGGGCCTCGGAGGAGTCCTCCTCCTACGACGACATGAACGGGGCGGCCTGCTGGGGACGGGTGATCAACTCACATTGGGTCATCAACAAGATGCTCGGCTTCAGGAGGTTCTGGGTTTTGAGTTTGTGTTTGTTGCTGCTTGTCTGTCTGTCTGTCTGTCTGTCTGCCTGCCTGCCTGCCTGCCTGCCTGCCTGCCTGCCTGCCTGCCTGCCTGTCTGTCTGTCTGTCTGTCTGTCTGTCTGTCTGTCTGTCTGTCTGTCTGTCTGTCTGTCTGTCTGTCTGTCTGTCTGTCTGTCTGTCTGTCTGTCTGTCTGTCTGTCTGTCTGTCTGTCCTGTCTGTGTTTCTGTGTTTCTTTGTTTGTGTGTTTGTCTATCTGTTTGATTCGTTGTCCGCCTGTCTGTCTGTCTGTCTGTCTGTCTGTCTGTTTGTTTGCTTGTTTGTTTGTTTTCTTGTTTGTTTGCTTGGTTGTTTGTTTGTTTGTGTATTTGTTCCTGTGGCTTGGTTGTGTTGCTTTGTTCTTTGCTTGTTGAGGCGGGCTAAATGAGAGGCGGACGGCTAAGTGGATCGAGATTAGATTAGTGAACCTTGATCGTAAAATCTTTGGAGGGGAGAGGGCGGGAGGCGTGCTATCGACACTTAGAGGAAGTACCTTAGAAGGTGGTTGCAAAATAGACTCCTCATGTCCGTCATACGGGTTGGGGGGAAGAGTGACATGATCTTTGTGAATTGTGACCGGGTTATCCATGACATGCAGGGCGCGCTTTTCCTTTGGGAGGAGATAAACGACCCGTCGCTCAAATGGAGACGAGAATTCAGGAGTTTCCTTTCAGGTGACATGCTAGTTGGTGGACAGGCACTGTGTCCCTTAAAGGGGTTGCATGTTGTTTGGGTGGGGGGGAAGGGGGTTCTCCCAAAAAGATTCCAGTTGGAAGTTGTTTCTCCCTCACCATTGCCATGGCCTAAATTTCATGTCACTTACCTCGATCTTAAAGTCGATGGCTTTGCTCGGTGTGGTTTCTCCCTACTGGCACCCCACTGGCACCACTGCCGGTCTCGAAGTGGCCCCTGAGTGGCTCAGGATGACGTCGTCGATTATGTGGAATCTGGTAGGCGCGGGCGGGCGTGGCCTTCAATGGCCTGGGCAAACAATCCTCATACTGCATACTGCTCAGTGCCTCGGTTTGGCGTTTGTTTGTTTTTTGTTTCTCGGGGAGAAAGGTGGTAGGATTGGGTGTTGGGTGTTGGGTGTTGGGTGTTGGGTGTTGGGTGGGTGGTGAGTGGGTGGTGGGTGGGGGGTGTTGGGTGTTGGCACCTCATGTGGAGCAACCCAATTTACCAGGCGCAAGCCTCGCGAAAAATGGAATTGGTTGTAGAGTGGATGCCCCCAGCTCGGCCCAAAGCGAGTTCATGCTGAATGCCCTTATGGAGATGGAACGCCTGGAGATGGGGTGACGCCCCCCTTGCTTCATGGGACGGATTCATAAATCCGGGGTCAACAATACGTACCTTGCACCCAATTAAGGTCCATCATATGCATCCGGAAGGCACTCACAAGTCACCCATTCTAGAAGGCAAGTTTTCTGATTTCTATAGCTTTCGGATTCCCAGATGGATGTGTGTTTCCTTTCACGAAGTCTTTTACCAACATCAAGTGAGTGCCTTTTCTTAACCGGATTGGATCTTTAGATTTTAACTTTTTGGGAGATCAAGTTGGGTTTTCCACTGCCCCCCCAACAAGTGGTCCACTTTTTGCAGGCGGGTCGTTGCAGCAACCCAGTTTTCCGCCATAAAATGCCTACTGGACTTCGGCCCAGTCCGGTCCGGTCAGAGAGGCGCCTACTACCACGGCACCCAGTGGTACGCCTCCTCGATGATGACGGCGGTGGAGCCCTGGGGCGGGCACTACGAGGTGAACCCCGTGATCTGGGCCACCGCGCGGCTCGGAACCCGAAGCCCCGAAGTGGCGGACGAGCTCCTTTTCGGGTGTCCCCTCACCGGGTCGGGGGGGGGCAAGGGGCCAGACGGGTTGGGGGTTTTTAATGTGATTGGGTTTGGGGGGAGGTGGGGGGGAAAGCAGGCCGGTGTCCCTTCACCCGGAAAAAAAAGGGGGCAATCTTGGAACCTGAAGTTCTTGAGTTTCCCTTCACCGGGTTTGGGGTAATGGCTTCAGATGGCTGGTGAAAAAATAGGGAAACCCCTAAGATGGGACCCTGGTAAATGGAAACAAGGGCTAAAATCTGTGGTTTTGTTTGTGGGTCAACAATACTGTGGATGGTTACGAAATCCATTTCGCACCACTTTGAAACCATAGGAAGGCATTGTTGGTTGGGATTTACAGGGGAGTCGAATCATTCCAGGGATTCTTAGGTGGTGCGAAGTGGATTTTGTCCATCCACAGTAGGTACCCATGGCACCCTGGTAAATGGAAACGATGGCTAAAACCAGTGGTCCATTCCTGGTGGTTTGATTTTGACCCATACCCAGATCTGCTTTTCGGAGTTGGGGGAGCGGGGTCACACCTCCTGGTGTCCTTCCATCGTCCATCGGGTTGGGGGGGGGGGGCATCTGGGCTACCTGAAGTTTTTGGGTTTTCTTTTCGGAGGGGGTAGCAGACCTCATTTTTGAGTTCTCTTCACAAGGTTGGGGGTGCTTTTGCCTTTTTGGGTGTCCCCGGTTGGGAGTTTCATGTGACTGGGTTTGGGGGTTTGGGGAGGGTAGTCAGACCTCCTAAAGGTCGCCAGGGTGGGGGAGGGGGGTTCCCTCAACCCTGCCCTTCGCCAGAGCTGGCAAAACTTTGCTGCACTTTGGTTCCAAAGACATACAGACGGAACCTTTTCGGTGGCTTTACTAGGTCCCCCTACTAAAATAGACTACAGAAAAAAAAAGGTACCCTTATTCTAACCTCTCTACTGGAGGACCTAGTGTAGGTTTGGTCTTCATCTTCCCTCGTTTGGTGCTTTGCAACCGGTTAGGCCTTCAAAGGGGGTGGCTTCCCACTTGCCCAGGAGCTGAGATCCAATCCAACATCCGCCAATCCAAGCCACACATGCTTCGGGTTGCCTGCTTCGCTTGAAAGGGGCGATCGGGAGTGGATGCCCTGAACATTGAAAGGGAAACCAGGGAAGCACTGGCACTTGTTACTGCAACTCACCATTGCTTTCTGGTTGGGCGTGGTTCACTGGCATTTCGGGAAGACGTACTTGTAGTGAGCAACGAACACTTAGCACATTGACATGGACGTGCTTGCTGTGGGGTATGCTAGCTGGTGGTTACTCGCAGGTGTTGCCCAAAAGCCATAATGCGGTTGTAAGTCTCCTGTTCAGTGGGTGTTTTTGCCCATGGTCACTAGCGCCTAGCGTCCTTGTTGTCAGCCCGCAGGCATGTCACGCAGTTCACCAAGATCGGCTGGAAGTATTTGCCCCTTAGCTTGGAATGCTCAGCTTCGCCTAAGATCTGTTGATGGACGAAGTCCTGCACGAGTCGACAGATGGTGCGAAGTGGATGTGGTCCATCAGCATGTGACCCCATACTGTGGATGGACCACTTTGAAACCATAGGAAGCCATTGTTGGTTGGTACTTGCAAGGGAATCATGATTCCCGAGTTTCTCAGGTGGTGCGAATTGGATTTCGTTCGGCCATTGCTTCGAGGTTGAACGGCACTGGCTCCGGTGAGCTGCCGAAGGGCGGGTACTATGCCACCTGGGTGGATCCGGATTCCAAGGAGAGATGGGGTGCGGCATGTCCCCACTGTTTCCTTGCATGTGCTGAAAGGAATCTCTTTTTTTTGTGTTTCCTTGTTGGTTTTGAAGGGAATTGATTTCACTACTGGAAAAAACATTTTGTTTCCCAGGCGGCTTGATGGAAGATTCCCGGTGGGGTGCCTTAAATAGGTCACCCCCAAAATTGTGGTTGCCAAAATTAATTTCTCGCTATAGCCATGCGAAAAGGGGTGCAACAAAACAACATAATTTTGGGTGGGGGGTGGGGGTTGTTTGAACTCGTTTGAACTTTCACACCCCCGGCGTATTTTAGCTCTTGGGTGGGGACGAGATACAGATGCGTGATCTGTGGGATTGATAGGCTCTTTCTTGTGGGAAGAGGGCAACCCTGGCAGAAACCTATCAAATTACTTTAACAGTTTTTGACTTTCACCCGGCCACGGGTTGGCAAACAAGACTCCGGGACGCCCTGGGTGTGCGTCTACAAATATGCGAACCCCCGCAAGTTTCCCCGTTGAGCTTTCTTCAATCCAACGTGCTGCTCAAAACAGAAAGGAGCACCCATGTCGTCACAGTGGTTTACAGTGGTTGCATGTCAGGTGCCAGCGCGAAAGGAAGTTTCGGCTAACCCCCCCCCCCCAACTCCATAAACCCAACCTTGTGCTCCCCAAACTTGAGCGCATGGGACAAAGGAACGCGCTCGACAGGGGGCAACTCCCCCTATGTATACTTACTGCAGATGAGCAAGCTATTGGTTTAAGGCTTTGGTGTGATTTGGGCCGGCCGGGGGATTTGCAGCCCTCGCTTGCGCTCGCCATCCGCCTGCTCACGAACCTAAACACCACTTTATATATAAACTAAGTGTGCAACATAGCCACAAAACATATATAAATCCATCTGACGCAGACCAAGGGGGAGCGTAATTTGTTGCTGGTACCGCCGTCAGACTGTGAATGCACGTGTCATTTGTTTCACGTTTTTCCCATTGTTTTCATGTAACACACACGCCCGCGCGCATCCACGACCGCTGCATGCTGGCTGGCACAAATGTTTTTGCAGGACTTCACCATGAATGTCGTGAAGATCTCCCGTTGCTTGGGCTGATGGCACAGGAAACAGACAGCTCGAGATGGCGACTGTATGGCCCCTGGGTCCCGAAATGTCCCCTTTTGGGTGGATTTAAATGTCAGCCTTTTGGCGCATTGAAGTGGAGTTTCTGCCTTGGTGCTGTAGGGGCGATGTTTCAAGGGCAATGTAGGAATCTGTATGGTGAGGGTGGGATGAACCTTTGGGACTTGTTAGGGTGGATGAACATATACGACTTCTTTGCAGGTCGCAAGGGGTCAACATCGTGATAGGGTTGCTCGTAATTATATTGGCATCATTTGCATGTTGATCTTTTGACGCCTCGAAATATGGTCCCAGGGCTCAACTCATGTTGAGTAGTGCTGGTTGGGAGCAAAGCTGTGGCAGACTGGTGGATGGACGAAACCAATCTCGCACCACTTTGGAACCATGAATTGTGGCCGCAGGGTCATTCCCACATTTCGAAATGAGCAGAGCAGTTGGATCCAGAGATATCCAGGAAATCGAAGATATGGGTGTGGCTTTTTTCGTTGGTACCCTTGGCTGGGTTTAAAGGGAAACCCAAAAAGGTTGCAGTGTTTGGTAGAAATCGCTGGTTTGAGGTGTAATTACATGGCGTTGTCGGTGTTTTTTTTCGGTGAAGCCAACAAAAACAACTATCACTTGCAGGGGTTCCTTTCCGCAAATTCGCAAGTTCACTCCCTGAGTTCCTGGAGGTCATACCCTTGGGGAAGCAATTTCTGCCTGAACAACCTACCTGGAGTCTCCTTCTTTGAGCATGGTCGTGACCCAAAATTATTTGGGGTCATGACCCCATTTTCTAAGGGTCATGGAGACTCCAGGTACATAGTTCAGACTTCTTGAAGCCAATCCACTCACGCTTGAAAAACCCGGCCAGCCGTCTGGGGCCCAGGTGACCATGCGCAGTGTACCCGGCCTTCCTTGCCCAGCTTCCAGGTACAAGAGGCGGGCGCTCGGCGCGTTGTGACCCATTTAGTTCCGAGGTCCGGGGTTCCATGAAGTTCCAAAGCCACTCCAAGTCTCCTAGAACCTTCTTACTCAGGGGTCACTGGATTTCCCCTTCAAAAGTTACGTAGTTCACTGGTTCCAACCAGACTCCCGCTTTCAGGTCCCTTTTAAGGGAAATGGTGGAATCGATCCCTGTTGCTGGGTCGGTTTGAGCCAAAAGCTCGGGTCTGACCACTGTTTTTTTTTTTTTTTGGGGGGGGGGTAGGTTCTACAGGGAAGCCACATGTCCAAAGACCAGCAACTCGGTCACTCGGTCGCTCCGCTTTTTTCAGCAGGGACCTCGCAACCTGAACATAGTTTGAGGGAAACGCAGCCGGAAGCCTACTGTACCACGTTGAGAGATTTTTTGGCACGGCGCTCTTTTTTTTTTGGGGGGGCGAGAGAAGAGAAGGGTTCCGAACCCAAGCACCGGGCGCCGACAAACGAGACACCCTGATCAACGGTTTCCTCCCAAAGCTTCTCGTTTTGTGTGAGGCCCTTTCTATGTTTTGTTTGTTCTTCTCCGTCGGCAAGGGGAACCCGCTTTGCTGTTTGCAGGGTTAATGTAGTTCGACGTGCTCAGAAATAATCTGGAATCCACAGTCGACTTTGCTTTTGGTTTTGCTCTTTGGGTCCGTTTTGTTCAAGTTGGTTTCAGACAATGGCCAGCCTCTTCTGTGCTTTTTGTGGATTTCACTTGGTCTTCCCCTTGTTAAAGTATTGTTTGTAATCTTTTAGTACCCTTTCAATGTTCTGCAGAGGTGCAGCCACAAAAGCCGCACCCAACCCTACTCTAGATTATTGGGCTGCATTGCAGATGGGGCCCGATATGACAATGGCGATGCTCCCGAACACGTTTATTAGTAGATCGTTCCAGAAAAATCACGGGGCACGTCGTGCACTTCCTCGATTTGTGTTTCGCCTACTGTGGATGACAAAATCCTGCACCAGCTCAGAAGCCTTTGGTGCATTTTGCCAAGGGATGTTAGGACTTTAACTTTTTGCCAACTACAGGCGTTTCCATCAAACCACCAAAAGTTAAACTTATTTTTTTAAGCAGGGGAGCAGAAGGCAACCGAGAAATCTGGAATGATTCGATTCCCGCTGTAACTGCCAACACACAAAGGTTTTAACCCTGCAGTTCCAAGTGGTGCGGTGCCTTGCATGGCCTGGCTTGTTTCGAGGAAACCGATGAATCCTATCACTTTCCAGTTGGCCGCAAGGGGGCGTAACACCGAAGGCAAAGGGGTGGGTGGTAACACGAACGATGGCTGCAAAGAATGAGCAAGGAGCCGTGGGCCAACCCAGGCGCGTAAGGTGCCGTAAGCCGGTGGCGGAAGCAAAATGATACGACAGAGCAAATGTCCATAGATCAAAAGCCCGTACCCCCAGTGAACATCCCAATCCCCACTAAAATAGACCAAAATGGGTTGTGCACCTACCTTAAAATGGTGCCATTGGTTTTGACCCACAACCAAATCATGACACGTTTGGGACATGGCTGGACAACTGCCACACCCATTTGGTTCCATCCCATGCCAGGAGAACCTCACAGTTCAGCTGGCAGCCTCCATGGGGGCCCACAAGGAGTTGCAGGTGTGGCCGGGGCCCCGACCGACTTTTGGGTTGGTTCGACCCTTCACCCAGCGAGCCAACCCCAAGGCTCTGTTGCCCTGTGCCTTTTTTACTTTTTTGGGGTGGGTTCCCCTTTAAACTCGGCCCACAACAATTGGGTGCCCTTTGTTCCCGTGGAGATCCACTGGGCATCTGAGAAGGGTGCCCAAGAACCAAACAGATGCCATGTGAATGTGCAAGCTTCAACCATTTTCCTCCCAAAGGCAGGCTGTAGTGGGAAGCCTGGCAATGGGCTGGAAGTTCATAGCGCAACTCCCCAAATACCCGGCAAGTGCCAAGGTTCTGGCCGAAGGTGTCCTTTTTTCAGAGCAAAACCTATCTGGTCAGCACTTAGCCTCCGTGGGTTCGCAAGCTCCAGCTGGCCACACGTTGGCGCATCTTAATATGGCTCACAACGTTCGCAAGGCCTCTTTAGCTGCGCAAATGTTCGCCTAAACCAGTTCTACTGGTTTAGGAAATATGTTCACTAGGCCTCCAAAATGAAACCTACAAAAGCTGAGCAGCTGACCGACCTTTTGCTCAAAGCGGGGGCAGAGGCAGCGGAGAAACTCCGGACTGCGCTCGTCAGAATTCGATTTCAAGCAGTGGTGTTGCTTCATTTCTTTTTGGCCAAAAGCAGATGGCCATGTTGCGATTTACCAAGCCAAAAGGGGATGCTCAGTTTTGCGTTTGTTGTTTTTTCCAGACCTTCTATGTAGCACCCAGTGTTTGGTTTTGGGGTGTTCCGAGCGGATTGTCCATATCTTCCCACGGTTGCCAAGTTTCGGGGTGCTGCTTTGGCCAGCCAAGACCTGGCGCTGTCGCTCAATCGGTGAGGTCTTGGGGGCCAGCGGTGCCCGCTTTTCAATGGAGGGATTCAAGGCAAACTCCTCCATTTTCTTGGTTCCCAGGCATGCGGTTTCTTAGGTTTCCAGGTGTTTGGTCCCAAAATAGTGATTTTTTGCAGGGCATCTGAGAACAGCCCGATTTTCTCAGTTTCCCTTTTTTGGTGAAAGTGGCAGTTTTGGTGGGGACCAGCTGTTGGGGACCCGGCTGCCATTTTCAAAATCCACGAGAGCTGGGAGTTCTACCGGAAGTTAGGCAAACATCCATCAACATGTGACTCGGTTTCCGGGAGCTGGTTTCTGAGAGAGAGAGAGAGAGAGAGAGAGGGGGCTGCCGCTGTACCTGTATAGCCCTGACCAGTGTCACTTCATGCTTATTTGATCTGGTAATGCAGCAGGTCAAGATACTTTCTGGTTGAAGATCTTGGTATGGGAAGTTGTGCTTGAGCATCTTCTTATCCTCATGCCTGATATCTCCAACATAAACCGGTACCTGTATACTTGACGGCTATTGGGTTGGATCATTACTCTTTTCACTTGTTGGGAGTTCAAGGGGTTTCCATGAACCCCACAAAAGGTTAAACTTTTTGCTGAGGGGCCAACAGCAACGGACCTGCAGCCTCCAAGCTAGATTCGATACTCCGCTCGATGCACGGCAATCCCAGCAGTGCCCTTTTCCCCCTTTGTGGGGGAGATTCGGTTCCCCTACTAAAATAGACTACAGAAAAAAAGGGTACCCTCATTCTAACCTCTCTACTGGACCTGGGCAAAGTTTCCTCTGGTCTCTTGCCGAGGTATTCTAACTTTGAGGCCTTCGAGGGGCCGCCGCCGCTGTTTGAGCACTCCACCGTGCAGGCCGGCCGGCGCGTGAATCTTGTGCGTTTACAGGGAGGCGTCAAGCGGGTGCTAAAGAGCCCACATTCCCCACCCGAGGGCTTTGGGGTTGTGAGATTTTAAGTGACATTCCGACCGCCCGCCGTCCGACCGCCCTCCCAGCGACACTACTTCGACAGCTTTTGACGGACTCTTTCGACAGACCGTTGTGACAGACAGACGGGAACTAACGGCGGGGACAGCTTCTCGCCTCACGCCTTTGCTGGTGCCACGGCCCCCGCCAAGGCTGCTGCAAGGACAGCTGTGACAGCCCAAAGCCGGAGGCTCCCCAAACAAATGCACAAACGACCGCGCGAGCGAATCAACCAAACAAGCAAGCAAGCAAACAGCCAAACAATCAAGCAAGGAACCAACCAACCAAACAAGCAAAGAAGCGACGAATCAAGCAACAAGCAAACAAGAACACAATCAAGCAACCAAACAAATAACCACACAACCACAGACACAAACACACAAACACAAATAAACAAGCAAACAAACAAACACAGTTAAGCAACACATCTGTCTGTGTCTGTGTCCCCGTTTTTTCTGTGTTTGTGTGTGTGCGCGCGTGTCTGTGTGCATTTGTCGGATTGCTTGCTTGCCCACTTGCTGGCTTGCTGGCTTGCTTGCTTGCTTGCTTGCTTGCTTGCTTGCGTGCGTGCGTGCGTGCGTGCGTGCGTGCGTGCGTCGTTGAGCGTTTGCGTGTTTGCTTGCTTGCCTGCTTGCTCGCTTTCTCGTTTGCTTTCTTGGTTGGTTGTTTGTTTGTTTGCCTGTTTTCTTCGTAGTTGTCTATGTTATGCATGTTGTTTGTATGGTTGATGTGCTTACACAGACACAAACACACACACAGACGCAGACACGCGCACACAGACAAGAACAAGCACACGCGCACAAACAAACGCACGCACACACAAACAAGCACACCCACACACAACACACACACACACGTATCAGTGATATGAGCGAGCCAGCTCTGCGATTCTGTGTTTGCATTGAGGTCACCGAGAACAAGTTCACAATCCTCGTGCCCGTTGGCGCCATGCCGCTCGGAATGTGCGAGGAGGGTGCGCAAAGTTTGACTCGCTCAGTTGCCCAATGCAGATTGACCTTTTGACATTTTTGGCGTTCTCCTTTTGGTCCTTAGTCTTCCATTTGCATAATAATTACTGTTCACTTTCACTTGTCGGTTTTAACTGGATCCTATCACTACTGGAAGTATGTTTGCTTGTTTCGCGGGCTTAGTCATGCTCCCCAGGTTCACTCTTTTAGCTTTTGGGTCCTTCGGAGAACTGAGCTCAAGGAGGCAGTTGAACTTTTTGCATCCTGAACTTTGCTGCGTTTAAAGCTACGTGTTCGGCAAAAGGTACACCTGGTCCCCGTTGGTTCAATTCAGGGCCTTGAAGCACTCTAATTTCCTCAAGGTAAAAGTCCTAAATGCCGCGCCACACAGCGAAGTGCAGACACGTTCTTCAGAAGAGTGAATGCTTCGCGCATGGTGGCTTCCGACTTAAGACAACCACAAGCACACCCCTTTGCATCAATGAGCACAACTAGCTGGGGTCTCCTTTAAAAACCATGTTATGTAGGCAGGAAACATAATCTGAGCATATGTTTTGTGTACCCCAGAATGCAGATGCAGCGCTGCCCTCAATGCGCCCTCGGTTTGTGCTGGGTTGGTGGCTGATTGTTGTGGCCTCCATTTTGGAATGGAGTATTTTACCTGATTTATTTGGGGCTCCTTTTGGGGGAAGCAAAACGCGTTCGGGCACCTGTTGGGGATAGGGTGAAGAAAGGCCAAGTCTGGGGGCGCAGGTTGGGTTTTAATCCCATAATCACTGGCCCAAAGCCGGCCTTTTGGTATTCCGTTTTGGCCTTATCTTTCGTCTGGATCCCTAAACTTACTCCCTGTCCTGGATGTGATACTTTTGGGTAAGGCCGGCAAACAACGAGTGTAGACTGCAATTTGCCGAGCCAGGAAGAGAGTAAAGGTCAGCCTTTGTTTCCACGTCCTCCAGGCGTGAGTACGAGAGTCCTGAGGCTGACAGTGACCACCGTGACCACCGGCCACAAGGGCAGCTTTGCCCAGCTGCCGCCGTCCTCTCCCGCCTTTCCTCTGAACTACGCCGACACTTTTCAAACCACCGCGGAGTCCAAGAACGCCAGGCGCGCGATGCGAGCGCGGCGCGGGCGTGCGCCGGGTGTGATTCTCCAGGGTCCCTTACGCAGCACCAGGGCAAGTCGCAGATCACCCAAATACCAATCCGGACCCTTGAAAAGCACGAGGTTTTTGGATGTATCCTTGAAGGAACCCGAAGACCCTGGAAAAAATAGTGGGGGAACATGGGGGCACCATGCGAGGTTCGGTGAACATATCCCGTCTCGTCTTGGTCTGCACCCAAATTTCCTGCAAAAGATGTACGGAGTCGCTCGTTTTCCCACGTCCATTTGGCTAGGATCAGTTTCATTCAGGGTAGTGTGGGGGTGTTTAGGGGATTTAGGGGCTTTTGGGTCAATGGGGCTGTTTTTGTCTTGGGGTTGATTCAGGCTCCCCTAAAAAAAAACCACCAGTTGGTGTTTCTTATCGGGGTCATTCCATTCCTCACTCCCAGGGGTCCCCCGATTGGTTTCAGGTTGCCACAGCCACCCTCGTTGCAGGGACTTCCTCGCTTTGGAATGCGAAGCCGGCGCTCAGCCCACCTTTTTCAGGAGTCCCGATCGCTTGCACCCAGAGAACTATCATGTTCGTAGCATCCTAGAACCCATTTGTTCGGAGCGCATGGGAAAGCTCCGCCAGTTAGGATGGCTTCGTGCTTTGCGAGTTGAGAGGAGTTGTCGCTGCCGTATAGTCTGAGAAAATGGCTCGCAGCCGGCACGGGGAGGCAGTTCATTGACATGAAAACAGGTACAAAAGATGAACAAAATAGTACATGTTCCCAAGCGCTAGCTGGTGTATGAGTAAAGCAATCGTAGGTAGCCATGTTGGCTGTGAGCTTTGCATCGTGGCCGACCTTTTTAGCTATTTTCCCTATTTTAAAGGTAAACCTGTTGCTTCCTGTGTTGAGGAAGTGGAGTCACTGGTCGGGGATCTTGTCTGGCTGCTTGGTTGCCTGGCGCATGATTTGCAGACCTAGTGAATACAACTGGATCTCCTCCCAGGCGATGTTCATATGGATTGCATCCAATAATATGGTGTATCAAGATATTGACCCTCCAAGATTGAAAATATGAATATGAATATCGAATGTTGACCCTCCAAGATCTTGGCTTTAGCAGGGTCGATCCCGAGCCTCCAGGTGGTTCTCCGATCAGATCGGCTCCTTTGAAGTGCACAAGAGCACAGATGGCCAGCAGCTTGCCTCTTTTTTTTCGGCGCGGTTGGGGCAAGAGGATCTAGCCCCGCGGTTTCCTTTAAAATGGTCTTCAAAACTATGTGTTTACTTTAAGGCAGGGTAAGAATGAAACAACATGAGATCATCCCCCGATGTGGGCCAAGTTATTTAGAGGCACCCAGGGGAGGGGGCTGAATCCTATGACCAGCGGGCAGCTGCTTCCATCTGAGCGCCATGTGAACATTCAGTTTACTCTTATCATGACTCGATTCGCAAAGTACCCCACAAACACATTTTATTTAGGCCCATGCACTATGTCAAGAAGGTTCCTGCATGAGCTGCACCTTGCGAGAAGTACGCATGGACAGCGAAAGTGGTGGTTATTTTGCTCACCCCAAACCAAACCAACACAGAGCCCGCCCCGTTTGGGATGGGTTTAACTGGAAGTCAAAAGGAAACCAACCACCTGAAGGAATTACTGCAATCTCTCAGGGAGGAGGAGGGATAATTCCATTGCTTAGGAAGATTTCTAATTTTTCCATGTTGGTTTTAAAGGGGATTCATCACTACTGGGCATATTTGTTGCTTTTTCAGGGCTGAATCCAATTGAAGACATTACACATGGATTACGAGAGAAGGGGGCTCTACTTGCCCCACATTCTTGCTGGATGTGTCGCTCAACCTTGGCTTCGGGTGACATGCTGCAAGCCATCAATGGAGACCGTTGCTTTCAGAGTTCATCGTCCATCAGCAGCTCGAAATGGAAGGTACTGGGGATGGACGCAATCCATATCACACCATTGGACTGATTCGATACCCCGACATACCAACCAACGTCAGGGCTTCAACCATGGATTCATTGCGGTGGTTCGAGGCGTTTTTGCGATTTCAACCATCCAGTAGTTCACCTAGGGTAACCCGGTAGTAGGGTAGTATAAGGGTAATGTACATAGGTGTCCTTTTTGGTTGGTTTGCTTAAAAATAGAGGGCGATTCCTGGTTTAGATGGGGTTTATTCCATTTACCAGGGAAACCCATCTATTTTTCCAAAAGGCCACCTATGGTAATGTAGACCAAGGATCATCATTCCTCTGCCACGCTGTCACAAATCCATCGCCGGGTGGCCCTAGACGAAAGCCGAGCCGAGGAAGAGCCTCCGGCAGATGGTGCCGGCGCTGCCGATTGGATGGAGCGATTCGGGGACCCGAGGCCCTGTGACCATCATCGGCATGCGGGAGTGGCAGGACATGGAGGCTCCGGGTGCCGCTGCCCATGTTGATCTACCCTCCCACCATGTGAGCGGACGCCAAAACCTCCCAAGACCAGTTTAGTACGGGGGCGCCGATATCGGACGGTCCGCGTAAGGTGTTTCCCTTTGTGTGTATATAAGCTTGCGTAAGCACGCGCGTAAGCATGCTGCAAATGTTGCGCGCGTAAGCACGAAGCCTGCCATTGACCTAAATCCCGACTAGGGGCACAGTGAGGTGTTTCCAGAGGCGTTAGATTTGTTCGTATGAGCCACGTGCATGCAAAGAAGACGGCATAGAAGCCCTTGCCAAAACTTGGGAAGATGCGTAGATACAGGGCCCCTGATTTGAACTGGAGGGCGGATTCCTCCCTACTGGCTGCGACATCAAGCGGGGAGGTTGCGACGCCCGAAGTCATGGTTCCTTTCTTGGGATGCAGTTCTCACATTTTTCCCATTCGGTGAATGGTATGTTGTTTATTTGCCCCTGTTGGTTTTAAAGGGAATCCATCGCTACTGGATGTTTGTTGAATATGATGATTATGGGGCTTAAGCAAATGGAAGTTTTTGGTTGGCAAAGTATTTGGCCCGAGACAGGCAAGATATTGCGCCCAGGCGGAAAGAAACATCCGGCGCCAGTTGAAAACGAACAAATCCCTGGCAGTTGCTCCCACACCCGAGGGTTAAAAAAACCGTCTGGATGAACCATCTTTCTGAATATTAGTCGCTATTCGCCCCAAACAGTGCAACCATAGGAATGCCATGGAATGCCCATGACGAACAAAATCCATTTCGCACCACCTAAGCAACCAGGAATGATTCGATCCCCTGTAAATACCAACCAACGAAAACTGGTTTTATGTTGTGGCTAACAAACCTAGGCAACCCCAAAGGAAACCCTACGGAACCCTCTCATTGCAACCAAAGCAACAGCTCTTTCTCACACCTTTTTTTGGGGAGGGTTCCCCTACTAAAATAGACTACAGAAAAAAGTTGGCACCCTTATTCTAACCTCAAATCTGGAGGACCTAGAAGAGCTCGGGTTACACAGGTCCTAGCCTTTAAGTGTCCATTATGTTTTGCCAACTAATGGGTTTTCCGTCTTAAGACACTAAAAGTTCGTCACTTTTAGCATTCGCAACCGAGAACAGGACCCAGGAATGATTGGCTTCCCCGCTCAATACCAACCCAACCCGCCTAAGCAACCCAACAGCATGATTCGATCGCCTCCCATTGCAACCAGAGCAGAGTGAGGTGAAGGTCGACTTCAAGCTGCCCTCCGCGTTCTCCGCGTTAGACTCCGGCAGCTGCCCCGCAGACGCCTTTCCCATGGACCTTACGGACCGGCAATGCCTAGGGCTCACACAAGGCGCGGGGTCCAGCGGGGTCCGGGGGGCTGGTGTCCAGGGGGCTGGTCCAGGGGGCTGGTGTCCAGGGGGCTGGTGTCCAGGGCTGGTTTCTGGGAGTTAAGTCAGAAAATGGGGTTGTTTCCCCTGAAGCCCACTGGGGGGTTACTTTGATCATGGTGAAAACTGGGAGGCCAGGGGGTTCTCAAACAGGGGACCGTCTGCCCCAGGAAAACCCAAGTGAGGACAGATCCGGTCTGCCGTGACCCTCCAAAAGGCTCTGAAACAGTGGTTTTTGCAGACGTTGTTCGATTCTGGAAGCTGACGCAGAACCAGATTCCTTGGTTTCAACCGCAAATTTCCCTTCTTGGTTCCCAAGGTTCCAAAGAGTTGAACATGGTTGAACTTTTGTTTCTGGGTAAGGGGCAACTGAGTATGTTTATTCTTGGCATGGGGCAAAACTAAGCAACCAAAGACAAAAGCGACCTACTGTGCATGGACCTACGAAAGCCTGGAATGATGATTCCCCTGCAGATACCAACAAATCAATGGTTTCTCATCGTTTCAAAGTGGTGCAGAAATCCTGTACTCCTGTTTAATCACTATGCGCGGTTCAACTTGGTGGTTCCCAGCCATCTGCGGTTTTCAACTTAGGGTTTAGGGGTAGCCCAGAAGTAACTCAACACAGTTGAACACTGCCCCCAATTCCGTTGCACTGTGGGTGGGCGGAATCCTGCACCACTTTTACGCCATAGGAAATCATTATTCTTTGGTACTTACAAGGGAGTATTATTCCAGGGTTGCTCAAATGGTGCGAAACGGATTTCGTCCACCCACAGTATCTGTTTTAGAGAGAAGGGGTTCAATCCCCTGTGTGGTTTGGAGGGGATTGTGGCCTTCGTAGAGCCACAGTCAGTTACAGTTGGTTCTGGGTGAATTATCACGACCTCACACGACCTCATCCGGTCTATGTGGGGAATATGTGGGGAATAGCCTTTAACCACCTTGTATCAGGCTGGTGAAATATTATAATCACCCAGATGGGTTTCGGCCTGGGGTTTCCATCTTCGTAGCGAAAAATTCCGCGCGCGCCGCGCGGAAGCGAGTGCGAGGCAAGGCCACGTCTCCGGACGCGTGCCGAGAACTCTGCTGCCCCCTGACGGACTATTGCAATGCCCGGCCCTGAGTCCCCACCAACCGGCGGCCTCAGAATGTTGACCCCATATGAATCAACCCCAGTTTAAAACATCGGGGGTGTCGCCGGATTAGTGGGAAATTATTACTTTTGGAGGGGAACACCCCGTTTATAAACTGGGGTTGATGAATATGGGGTCGGCATTATTGTTTGTTTTGGGTGCTAAGCAGCCCACAAACACAAGATCCCAAGAGGAAACTGGAGACCCCTGTTCAACACCCAATCTGCACAAAGTACTACGAGTTCATTCAAGTAACATGTAGCCAGAAAGGGAATCCCCTCCGGGGATATCCAGCGAGGATAGTGAGGCAATGGGTGCCTTGCCTTGAAACGGCTGTATGTCAGGTCGCCGCTACCCCACCGCTCGATTTTACTTAGAGCCGGGGGGAGGGGGGAATTGTGAAAGGGCCCGCTTGTCCACAGCAACTCGGCTTTTTGACCCATTGGTTTCCACTGTTGGGCAATTGTGGGTCGCCCAGCAGTCCTTCAACCCTTTCATTTCCATACCTTTTAACAAGTGATGGGCGGGCAGCGGCAAAATTCTCAATCCGGCACCTATGAGGAGAAAGGGGCGTATTTCAAATAAAAGGGCCGTGCCCATAAGTACTCTTTTTCCGCTGGCGGAGCAGCGGGGCTAATACATGGAGGGTTGGCCCTTACAAATTTCCCACTTACTTACCAGAGAGTTGGCAAATGCCAAGCTTTTCGGCGAACAGCTTCTTCGTAGCCAAGGCCTAACCTTGGCCTGTCAACTTAGGAGGTCGGTGGTGGGCGATGGCTCCCCTTTGTTTTCAAGTGGACGGTCTCTCTTTTTCAGTGAGCATGTCTACCCCGAATACATCAACTTTGCGGATTCATGAGGGGGTTCAAACCCAGCAACAGTGACTCTTACTAAAGTGAATCAACCATTTGACCCTTGGTTTTCCAATGTTGGTGCATTTTCAGTCACAGCCCCAAAAGGTCCGTTTCTTTCTTAAACCTATCGGCAGCTGAGGTGAAGAATCCCCTCTTGAATGTGGCACCTTCTACAATCGCTATAATCTCGGTCCCCCAGTAGTGCGCTTTTACAGGGGAGGGTTCGGAGGGTTCCCCTACTAAAAGAGACTACAGAACAAAGGGTACCCTTATTCTAACCTCTCTACTGGAGGTCCTCGAAACTTCAAGTACCGAGGTCTGGCAGTGGGAGGAGTACTCCAAGTCCTGCTGGGTGGGCTACATCAGGCTCTCATGAGAAAATTCGCGCTTGCCTGTTTGAGTTCTCGAAAAAAAGTAAACACGAAGGGATACATCATATTTGTGTTGTTGCAGACGCCACCATCGGGCAATGCAAGAACCGTGCTTTACTAGGTCCCCAGTAGTGCCCTTTTACCCTTTTTTGGGGGAGGGTTCCCCCATTAAACTAGACTACAGAAAAAAAGTGGTACCCTTCTTCTAGCCTCTTTACTGGAGGACCTAGTTTACCTTCTGGGTGAACTGGGTCCACATGGACTTCCCGGGTTGACAAGAAAGTGCAATGCTCATCTGCTGTTCGCTAGGCGTCCATTCGGCTGAAGCTCACCTTGCTACCAATTTGAAGGAGTTTCCGTTGCCCTAAGGGTCTGACTCGATGTATTTGGGGGCCTCAAAACTGGGTGAAGTTTTAGAGAGCCCATGAGGCATTTGGTTCTCCATTGCAGGGTCCATGATTTCTGCATAGGGGTCATGGCCCTTACATGGTTGTTGTTGGGACACATTTTACATTTTTGCTTCCGTGGTTTAGTGGGGGAAATCCCCACTTAACTGCTGAAAACATTTTTTTGCTCCCCTTCCAGCATCAGCCAAGCTTGGGGCGTGCCTCTTTTTTGTCGCAGCTTGGCGCCGGCCGGGCCGTTCGACCGAGTTTTTTGAGGCGAAACCAACAAACGGGCTTCGATCCGGGAGCCGGAGCCTGGCCGACCCGCAGAAAAAAAAACACGCGATTCCATGCAGAACCCCTCCCCCCCCCCAAAAAAAAAAGAGAAAGAAAGCAGTTTTCACGGATGTGTAGGCAAGAATGGAAGGAAGTTCCTCTAAATGCGACGTTGGCGATGTGGTTGTACCCCTGGAGTGGGTCCATGGGCAAATTTGTTGCCTGTGGCCAAATTTGGAGGCTGCATGGAACTGTGCTCAGGCAAACTTATCCGTTATTGTTTTTTAGAACCGCATTGTTTTTTTCAACAAGGAACCTAGTAGGTTTTATGTAAAACCGACCCAGTGCGGTGTTTAGGTCGGTCGTCCCTAGCGCTCCTGTTAAGCGCCAGTCTCATGGCGGCCCGCCGTGTTTCGGGAAGCCAAATCAAAGGCCCAGCGATGGAGTCATTCAAGCACCCAGCTACCGCCAGGTAGGCGCCATACTTGGCATCTTGGCTGAAGAGCACTATCCCTAAAAGATTTCTACCTGGAATGCCCTATGCCTTGCTCCAAGATGTTTTGCAATGAAACAGGAGTCAAAAGGGCTCAGTTCACAAGCAACAACCCCCCCCTCCAACAGTTGTGGAAGCCAGACAAGGAGTCAAAAAAGCAAAAGCCCAGCCACAGAAAGAACGCCAAGAGCGCCCAAGAGACGTGCGGCAGGTCGGCAGTTTTGTTCGAGTCGCGCCAGGGACCCCATGTCCTGCAAGAAGGCGAAAGGCGGGGACCAGCCTTGGCCAAGATCTGCGGAGTCCAAGCCCTTTTCTTTTCCGGGCTCACCTCCCAATTTCCTGGACAATGGCCAAACAAATTGTGTTATTCTTCGGCAACCGCAGCGCGGAATTCGTTGATGGGTCCTCCACTGAAAATGCTACGCCCAAAAATTGCTTGCTGTACAAGGGAGTCCTCCAATCAGCTGGTGAATGAGTGATTTTCTTTGGCGCAACCGTATCCTTCAGGGGACCCGGTGAGTGCAGGAAGTAGGGAGACTTCCGAATTTGCGCGTGTGGGTTTGTCAGCATCTGGAATTCCGGGCGATCGGTTGCAGGTGAAAATTGAAAGGCTGTGCAGTTCGTGTTTTGGGGGCCGGCTAAAGAGGTACAGATCTTCAGGGTCACAATCGCGCCAAGCATGCTATGTCGGCCCGTTTTGGCATGTGAGCGGGCCTGTCTTTCCACTCATATCCCTCTTTAAGCAATGCATGGAAGCGGACCGTACAGGCTCACAATACCCCGAACCTTTGCAAGAACAGGTTCAAGGTGGCTCGTTGACCAGACCCTGTTTTACTCCGTGAAATTAATCGTACCCTTTTGGGCGTCCATTGTCTTTTGGGTGGGTGAAATGTGGGGCCAAAGCGACCGTTTCGCGATGTTTCGCGTGTCCCCCGCGTTTGGGTGGGACCCCCGTTGTAGGCTCAAAATAAAGTTGGACTGTTTCGTTTCATCTTTATTTTCCAATAAAGATCGGCTAACCCTATTTTATCGCATAAAATGGGGCGGGGGGGGGGGGTTCAACCTTGTCTGGAGCATCTACCGGGTGTGTGTGTGGGCATCACCTGGGAGCCTGGCGCGGACGGCTTCGCGCGCGCCAGGCTACCAGTCCCAGGGTCGCACCATGGACCGGTCCAAGGCGGCCTGCGTCGCGCTGCGCGCGGACCAGATGTGGGAGAACGGCGTGGTGCTCTGCGCCTGGAAGAAAAACTGGACTTGTTCAGTGGCTCCATTTTGTTTCCTGTTTTTTCTTTTTGGGTGACTGCCCCACTAAAAAGTGTCTTTCCCCAAAAAGGTTTCCCTTGTTTTCCAGGGCCACTGAACAACTGAGAAAATGAGTTTGGGGAATGGTGCATGGTTGTTGTTGGGAAACATGTTACGTTTTTGCTTCTTGTGGTTTAGTGGGAAATCCCCAGTTAACTGCTAAAATTTCAATGTTTGCTCCCCTTCCAACGTCAACCAAGGGTGTGGGGCGAGGGGTAAGGGGGTGTTGGTTTGGATGGGTAAGGCTGGGAGGGGTTGAGGGATTGTGATGGTTGGAGGGTTTGGAAGTTTGAGGGTGTGGGGTGGTTTGGGATGGTTTGAGGAGAGTTTGAGGGTTTGATGGTTCGTTTGTCATGTTTTATAGTTATGTTGGATCTTGGTTCAGGGCCGTTCCTAGATCCAGTCTAATCCTTCCATTGGTTACAGAAGGCGTTGGTGTGGATTCGGCTTTGGAATGTTTGGAGTGTGTGGTTCGCAATTTGGCTTTCTTTCGAGTGGAAACAGCAGCAGCGGGCTTGGTCCGTGTAAAATTTGTCTTAAGGAGGCGCCAGCCTCTCTTTCGCTTCCCTCGAAGCCAACAGGAGAAGAGATCCTTCAGATTGGGGCAAGTCAGAGTCAAAGCATGTTAGAAGCACAACAACTTTAACCTCCTTTTGATTTCCCTTTGTAGGCTCTCGGGCACTTTAGAACCAACTTAATTCACGATCATAGGCGCGACGCATGTTCACTGTGTGGCAGGTTTTTAGGTTTTCATGTTTTTTGGGGTTCTGTTCACTTTTGGGGGGGGGGGGGCTGCAAAAAGCCACAGTTTTTTGGTGCTAATTACCATACCAAGGGTTGGAAAGAAATGTTCCTCATTCCTTCATCCCTTAGGTCTCAGGTTGCCCTCCAAACATGGGGCCTTCATGTGGCGAGAAGGATTGCGGGGACCTTGCTCTTGCCAGCCCCACGCCTGCGGTTTTCACATCCATTGAACCCTTCCCCCCCTAGGAGAAAATCACATGATACTACATTTGGTTAGGGTTCAAGATTAAAACGCCCATGTTTTTACATTCACCAGGGTTACCTTTTTTTGGACCCCCACCCATATGAAAACAAGGGGTGTGCCCGAAAAAAACCGGGGACTCGGCAGCCGAGGCGTCCACAGCGACGGCAAGTGGCAGCTGGGGAATTCCGGGCCTGGCCTGCCAGGTGCCGTCGCTGTGGAAACGCGTTTCAACGATTTTCTGGGAGTTTGGTTGGGGACTGGCTAAAGGCTTCGGGGAGTGTCCGGCATGTTTGGAGCTATGGTTCCTAGGGAATCAGTTTGGTTAACCTCCATAGTTTGCTGAAAGGACTATTTATGAATATTTTGTACTTTCCCTGGTTGGTTTTAAGGAATTTATCACGAAATATCTTTTCCAGGGGTCTTAACCAAATGGAAGCTTTCGGGGGGCTTGGTTGGGCCGGCATTTTGGGAGCTACTGTATGCTTCCTAGGGAATCAGTTTGGTTAACAGCACAGATCTGATCGCATGAAGCTTGGTGCCTTGTTGGCAGCCATTTTGTCTCCTATTGGATTGGGAGGCGGCGTTTTGTTTGGGCGAGGGACCTTGGCCAATGGAACTCACTAGATTAAACAGGCACCCCCGGAACCGGGCAGTAGATTATGTGGGGAGTGCATTATTCAAGGGTTGCCCAAATGCGAAGGGGGCATGAAATTCAGCCAGAACCAGGCAAACCCATTTGCGAGGCCGGCCTTTCGTAGAGAGCATCTTGGCTACAAACCACTCATGCGCCAGCGCCGCGAAAACCGCCTTTTGGTTTGACAGTGTTGGGGTCAAATGATGTCTCTCATGGTGACCAAACGCTTCACCAACTTCCAGATCTCACATCCATTGGTTGCAAGTCATACCCACACACCCAGCCCAGCCCAGCCCAGCCACCCACAACCCCACCCGCCCACCCACCCAACAACCCACCACCACCCTGCTGTCCGATCTGGCCGCAGGCGCCATCGGTGTTCCTTCAGCTCCGCTGGTGGTGGGTCACGTCGCGGCAGTGGGCAGCGATTGGCACACACTGGCGCTGTCCGTGAACCCCAGCAGCCTCGCGGCCTGGCCAGAACTTGCTTTGTTGCCCAGTGGTGCCCTTCTTTCCTTTTTGTGGGTGCGGGTTCTGGTTCCTTGAAACTCAACCAACGAAAAAAGGGTGCCTTGTTTTTCCCATGGCCACTGGGCATCTGAGTGTGTGTTTGTTGCTGGTGCTTCACTTCTTGAGTTCTGGAGTTCCGTTTTGGACTTTAGTCACTTTTTGTCTTTGGTTGCCATTTTCGTGGCCAACAAGAAGTCGATATCCGGTTTGTTTGGTTGTTGTGTGTTTTGTTGCTTTTCTTGTGTTTGGGGGTGGGGGATGGCCATTCCATCCATTCCCGGGCTCATTTCGAGGACGTCTTCCTAAAATGGGCCCTGGAAGCCCAGGCTTTGCGGGATCGGCTGTAACCAGGTTGCAAGCAAAGCACATATGGAGCTCCTCAGTTGTTCAGTGGCTCCAATTATTTTTCCCTTCTTTTTTTTTTGGGGGGGGTGGCTGCCCCACTAAGATTTTGTCTTCCCAAAAAAGGGTTTCCTTTTTTTTTCTCCAGGGTCGCTGAACAACTGAGGAACCTGAAAGGGGCCCCCAAGGAAGACCGCCTTTCCTTTTTACGACCTTTCAGGTGCCACTGTTTTTTCTTTTCTTTTTTTACATCCCGGAGGGTCCCAGTTACCCCAGACGGCCCAGCGAATTGGCGGGAATCCTCGAAGGCGCGAGGCTCCTTGGACGGCAAGGAGCTCTTCGCCAACTTCCAAGTGCGCGACCTCGACACAGGCGACGGCTGGGACCGGTTTGGTGGTCGACCTCAGCGGTTTGGTCCCTAAATGGTTTCTTGGTGGTTCCCAGCCATCCGGTTCCTTGGCTTTTTAGCCTTCTAGTGTTTAGTGGGGATTTCCATTTAACCCACTACAAATTAAACTGTTAGCAGGGGATCTGAGGACAGCCAAGGTTAGAGGAAACCATGATGTTGGAGGTTCCAACCCAGAAAACGCAGACAGATCCACACTGTGGTTCTGATGATTTTCCTGAGCCTGTAGTTCCAACAAACGTTATGGTTTCAAGCATGGTTTCATTTCGTTTCGAGAAATTGTTTTCGCAACCATCCACAGTAGCATTTTTACTCCATAATTGCAGCCTTAAGTCCTCACCGTGCAACATTGCCAGACTTGCCGAAGCTTTGGACCTTTGCCCTCTGGTTTTCCTGAAGCGTCCCTGGTTTTCCTGAAGTGTGCGTTTCTTTCTTCCTGAGTTCCTGAACTTTAGTCACTTTTTGGTATGATGTTTTTCGTGGCAAACGAAAAGTCTAGCCACTTTACTTGGCCAACCCCTTGATCGGAAGTGAGCTTTCAACCAGCGACGAGTTGTTGTGACAACCCGTTTTTTTGGTTTTACTGCGGATGGGGACGGGTTAGGCCCACCACGTATTGCAACATGGGAAAAGCACTCCTGGTGTTCAAACATCTCCCTTAAGATTTCTAGGTCCCTCAGTAGTGCCCTATCACACCCTTTTGTGGGGCAGGGTTCCCCTACTAAAATAGACTACAGAGAAAAGGGTACCCGTATTCTAACCTCTCTACTGGAGGACCTAGATTTCCGTTTCAAAGGGTGCCATATTGTGCGTTTAACAATACAACGACGTAAACTGCAAACATAAACAAATTTGCCCAACCCCCCCAAAAGGATCACTTCCCCATGTCTAGGAGTGGCTTGACACATCATGTAGTGATGGTTGGGGTGACGGCTTTATTCTTGAGAAGGCACGGCCCTCTAAATGTTCTGTGAATTTTGGGGTAGTTCTCAGCCCGGCAAACGCAGGGGCATGGCATGGCATGGCAAGTAGAAATGCATCGAAGGCTGTTTTAAAGGGATTTCCTTTGCACCAACCCAAAAAACGGGTACCCTCAAAACAGGACACACCCACTTGATTCCCTTTGTGGGCCCCGCGTATAGTAGCGACTCCCCATCGACTGCCCCAACAGGCACTTCTGGCTGCGAGTACCTTCGCAAGGGAAGGCCCAACTGGCCAGCCATTTGAGTCAGGCCTACATGCAGATTATATGGTGTCTACGTAATTTTAAATATATATATATATACATACATATGTATTAAAAAAAAAATCGACATGAAACATATATCTCCAAGTTTCCCTTGGCCGTCAGGTTTGAGGTTTCTGAAAGCCCCAAATCCCAATTTGGGGAGCTCGACGTCAACAAATCCTCGCCGAAGGCTTCGCGGCCATCGGCTGCAACGACTGGTTCCCCATCGAGTTCCGCAACTTCTCGGTGACCAAGGCTGGCGCATCCCATCAACAAACCGGTTCCTCGTACCCGGTTCCTGGGGTTCCTGGGCCTGGTAGATGCAGCAACCAGGTCAAGAACCATCAGCTTGGCAATGCTCAAGCTAGGAGCTATTTCTGGAGACTAAACCACACCCGACCATCCCTGGCAGGAGCAAATCATTGCAATTCAATAATTCATGCGTCACATTGTTGCTGTCGGTAGGAACTGTCACAACATGGCGAGGCCATCCTTGTCCATGCGTCTTAGGATACAAGCCGTGTAAGGCCAGTAGCGGGTTACCCGGGTTTTGATACCATTGCCGCCTGAACAAAACAGGCTGCTGCGGTAATGACTCTTTTGTTTCCAAAGCCAGCGCTGGGGTCAGACCCTGTTGGAACTCATCAAAGGAGGTCATTGCGGGTATCATGCTCCTGGCTGAGCCAGGCGGGCCAGTGTCCTTCCGTTTGCGCTTTCGGGTATGTAGAATCATGTTCCTGAGTTGTTTCTTGGCAGAGAGAAATCCGGAGCGCTTTACACCCAACCACGCTAGTGCAAGGCCTGGTTTCTCGCGTTCTCATATCATATTGGTTCCTCTTGTTGTTTCTATCTTATTAACTACGTCTGCCAGTAGTGCCCTATCTCACCCCTTTTTGGTGTTCCCCTACTAAAATGGACAAAACCGAAAAACAAAAATCGGGTACCAACTTATTCGAACCTCTCATATCTGGCGGACCTAGTAAACCATCCCCGGTTTCCTTTAAGGGGCGCCCCTTCCGGTGCATTCCCAGAAGCTGGAAGGTCATCTCCTCAGCGCCAGCAAGTTGTCTGTCTCCTACCTGCAACAACCATAAACAAATGGTGGTTTCCCAAAAAACATTTCCTATAGATCTTCTTGATGGACATTTGACAACCCATATTTGTAAATTGTTTTTTAGGCTCCAGGCCCTTTGGTGTTGAAATCAAGCCTGCTTTGTGTCCCGAGGGGTACGTTTTGCAGGCTATAGGGGTCATTTCTACTCGTTCCCTGCTGAGAAGCAGCAAGAAAACCCTATAGCCTGAGGCGAAAAACGAGCAAGACTTCTCATTGCTGAGGCGAAAGCCCCTATAAGAAGCAGCGAGAAACCCTTGTTTTCTACTCATTGCCTTCACCACACGACGCGCACAAAGGACGCTGCGGGTTGGGATCCCCCGACCTCCTGCACGGCCTCCGTGGGCGCTGAGCTGACGGCGCGCAACTGCGCGCGCAACGGCCTGGTGGCGGAGGCCGGCGTTTTGTTTTTGGCTGCCCGTGGCACCGCATGTCCTTTTTTTTGTGGGAGCGGGGTTGGCTTCCCAGACTTCCAGTCATGTCCGTCTAATTTATTTATTTATTTGTTATTTTATTCATTTACTTTTTTACATGTTGTTTTGTTTGTTTGTTTGTTTGTTTGTTTGTTTGTTTGTTTGTTTGTTTGTTTGGTTGTTTGTTTGTTTGTTTGTTTGTTGTTTGTTTGTTTTTTGTTTGTTTGTTTGTTTGTTTGTTTGTTTGTTTGTTTGGTGGTTGGTTGGTTGGTTGCTTGTTTTTTGTGTTCCCTTTTGTGTTGGAGGGGGGTGAGGGGGGGGAGGGAAGTTCCCAGGCTTCCCTCCATTTCCTCTTTGGAACGTCCAAAAGTGGCAATTCCAGCAGGGACCACCGTCAGTTGCAACTCTTTGCGGGGAAATCCAGTGACCCCTGTTTCCCCTTCACAGTCGACCGACCAAAACGGAAGGCCCTTGGGTAGATGGATGGTTACATGGACAGATGGACGGATACACGGACGGATGGACAGATGAATGGATGTATGGCCGACTCGTTTTCATTTTTGCTGTTTTTCCCTCGAGGCAGAGTGCTCCTTGGAAGATTCACCTGACATGGCTTTCGATGGAGCTATTGTGGTGGCGTAGCAGTTGGAATTCAGGTGTTTTATTTGGTGGTTGCAAGACGCCCAATTTCCCTTGAAGATGTTACATGTTCAAGCTTTACCAAGACATGACGCTTCAACAGCACATTCCTCTAAAAGACGTGCGGGGGCCGTGCGATGATCTAAAGAGTACCTAAAGGAGGGCCCATAAGCTTATGCCCTTAAAGAAAACCAAAAGAGGAGCATGGGATGGGCCGGCCAAACGTGGAACTCAGGCCACGTTGAGAGAGTCTTGAAGGGGCCCATGCACTTTTATGTGTTTGGCGGGGTGGGCAGGACTGTTCGTGCAGCTTGGGGCAACTGAGTCATTCAAGCATCGATTCAAAGAGTTACTTTCAACCAGGCTGAGGTCAGTGAAACCCTCGCGAAGAAGCTACATCCGGCAAAGTGGTTCACGGTTCCCCGTTGGCACGGGTCCTTGCGACATGGTTCAAAGAGTATCGCCTGCCACTGGTTTAAGGACCGATGTTTGTTGGTTCTGTGTGCGTCCGTTGATTCAAAAGGGCGGTGCAAGACAAGCTTGCAAAATACCGTGGATTGGACGAAATCCATTTCACACCACTTTCAAACCACAGCACAGCATAGAATCAATTCATTCCAGGGTTTTCTTAGGTTGTCGTCATGGATGGGGATGTCGCAGCCATCCAGCAGTAGCTGCACGAAGGCCCTATAGACGGCCCTATAGACGGCCCTATAGACACGATGTGATGAGACTTACCCTCCCACCAAAAGCCAAAGGCCACAGCTCACTGCCCGAGTTCTTGGACTTTGCTTCCACTTTCTTGGGGGAAGACCCATGTCAGTGGCCAGCAAAAAGGTGCCGACAAATTTTTCGGGCTATTTTTACCCAGCACGCCTTCGGAAAAGACAAGAAGTCCGCCTTTGCCGGCGGAGTCGGCGCTCGATGAGTTCGATTTTTTTCGGCGCGCAGGACCAGTCCTGGGAGTTGCTGCCCTCCTACGAGCTGCAGCACAGCGCCTCAGGAGCGGGCCTTTGCGGCCAGCTTTTGGAGAGACGGTGGGGCGGTTTTTGCGGCTCGGGAATTCCCGGGCTTTCCGTTTTCGGACTTGAGCCCACTTTTGGGGAAGTTTGGACCCTCTTTTTTTTTAGTACGCAAGAAGTTTGGTTCCGTTTTGTCTGGCAAATATCAAGCTCAGACTTTTTTGTGGAAGTGAGCCTGCAATTTTGAGTTTCCCGTTGGAGTCATGATTGGGAGACCCCCGGAAACCCATCCGGATCCCCAAAAGGATTTCCCACTGATCTGTTCAAAGGCAATCCATTGCTCCTTCCCTCGGGGTACGAAAGGGGTCCCCTTTGTAGTGGCTGTGCAATGGGGATTCTGGATTAGAGTTGGCCAACCCTCCATTTTGAACCGCCCAGCCTTGTGTTTTCGTTCCAAGATTTGAACCCCACTCAACGAGGTTCGAGTATGACTTTTGTCAATCTCACCCTGAAAAGCGATCTCCCTTTTTCCCGACGACTGAACGCCAAGTTTGCTCAACAGCAGAAAGCTATGGGGGCCTTTGACCAGATAGGGTGGTTTGGGACAGCTTTCAGGGAGGGTTGCGGAGGGTTCCAAGTGTTTGGGGCTGTGGGGATACCACCTCGGCTTATTGCCCAGATCGGCTCTGGAGTGGTTTGGAGTGGCCCCCCAGCCTGATCTGGGCTAGGGCTGCGCCCTGGGGGGGACGAGTTCCGGGACCTGTTGGGCATGCCGCCCGGGCTTGGGCTGTAGGACGCGTTCAAGCGAACCCCCAAAAGGGTACCTCCAAAAGAAGCTTTCTCCGAATTAGCGCGTTGGTTTTTGCATAGGCGACCTCTCAAGGGGATGCTCTGCCCAAGCGAATTTAACTCCTGCGAGCGTAAGTGGTCATAGGTGTTTTCCCTGAACCAACCTTTCCATGGTTAGTGTTGGGAAACATTATACATTTTTGCTTCTTGTGGTTTAGTGGAAAACCCCACTTAGCTGCTAAAATTTAAATCTTTGCTCCCCTTCCAACGTCAACCAAGTTTCAGGCCTGGTAGCTTGCCCCAGTACAGTGGCACGCTCTCACTCCTGGAGTTTTTGGACTTTAACCACTTTTGGGGGAAGACCCAGCTTTAGCTCTGTTGCCCAGTGGTGCCCTTTTTCTTTCCTTTTTTTTTGGGGTAAGGGTTCCCCTTTGAACTCAACCGACAAAAAAGGTGCCCTATTTCCCATGGCTACTGGGCATCTGAGTTAGTGGTACGCAAAAGCCGTGCTACTTTTTGCGGCATCAACCCGATCGGAAGTGAGCTCTTTCCTTTTTTGGCAAGGCTTGCCCCTTTAAACTCGACCAATCCAAAGAAACGGCCCCTTCTGGGATGGCAGCTGGGGGTTAGCAGAGACTCTCAGATCCCAATGCCTCCGGGCTCTTAACCACATGCCCCGAGAACCCTTCATGCACTGTTGTTTGTTTCTCGAACGTGTGGCTGCAGCCGTATATGCCGTTTGATTCGTAGACGGATATAACCGGATAAGAACCAGATGATCGGTTGATACACCACCAATCCCCGCCGCGAACTGGATTCTGTCCATGTCTGGCAAAAGTCGTCGGATAAATTTCCAGGACTCTGTGCCAGCGCTGGTGCTCCAGGGCCCGTGCGGCTGGAAAAATGCCGCTCGAAGGAAAAGCCGCTGCGGAAGCTGGATGGTTGCGAAATCAGTAGCAACAAACCGTATGGTTTCAAGCATGGTTTCAAAGTGGTGCGAGAAATGGAGTTCGTCCTGCGGTAACTTGTTGGAATCCCATTCTTGGTCTATTTTTAGTGGCCCCGAAAGGTCGGTGATTGTTCAGCGGTTGCTGTGCCCAAAGCCCAGCTTCTTTCGACATGTGGGAAGCCCTGAAGTACCAACCGTGACTACGGCAAGGGGAGGCATGGGATGGTTCTGGCCCTTACTGGTCCTTGGCCCCGACTGGTCACCAGTCATGAGTGGTCATTAGAGCGGCTGCAATGGCCTCCCATATGCCTCTGAGTGCGTAGGTGGTTTTAGCGACATCACAATGCTTTGCGATTGAAAGGGGGGGTCCTTGGTTCCGGTCATTGGCCAGCTGCACAGCTTGCCCGTCCAGCTTTCATCCGATGATCCCGAGGCAACTCCACCAAGAAGAGTCAGCTCTTCGTGAATGATTACACCATGATCCGGAACCGGGAGCAGGCGATGACGTCCTACGTGGTGCCCCTCGTCCGCGGTGCTCTTCGAGGGATCTTTGGGGGGATCTCGGGGAGTGGACAACTCGGGGCATGAATCCCCCCGAAATCGGACAATGGGCAAGTTGAATCCGGCCGAGGGAAACTCCCGCCCAAGGGGGGCGGTGATTCGAATGCCTCTTTTCAAGAGCCGAGCATGGTGTCATGTTGCCCTTCCTGCGTCTCCTGTGCAGCCAGTGGAACCGTGGCATCTCAGCCGGGACATGCACATGCACCGGCACATGCACCGGCACATGCACCTCGGGCGGCACAGGCAGGCACCTCAATGCCGGGTCCCATAAATCCTGAGGGACGCCCTCCATTTAAAAAGCAAACCGAAGCTGCGGTTGATTAACGCGGGGTCAACACTATAGCCACATGATTGGCATAAGATGGGGTTAGCCAACCTGTGAATCATTCGTTCGCCCTGGCCGCAGAAAAACACGTGCCCACCCACAAGTGAGCCAGAATCCAAACCCAGGTAGATGGAGGTTAGTGAGGGATAGTCCCAACCATCTTTAATTGGGTGCGGCCGCCTTTTTGATGCTTTAAATGAATTTAGGTACGCCATGTTAATACCAGGTTTTGATTATTTGCTGAAAGGAACAATTTTATTGTCCCCTGTTGGCTTTAAAGGGAACCGATTTTAGTGCTGGACGTATTTTCTCGTATTTTCCTTCAGGGGGCAACAATGCACATGGAGGATTGGTGTAGGAGCTCACCATTGGTCACCATAGGTCTTTGGAATACTTAAGGGTTGGTCAGTAAATCCTCAGTTTCCCTTTTTGGGACCTCCAAAAGTGGCATTGGAACATATTGGAACCCACGAGTACGATCAACGTTTGATTTGGGAAAATCCAGCGGTCCCCGCTGGTTTGCGGTTTTTCTAGGTTTGCGGATGGCAAGCCCCAGTCGCAACCCATCAGGAAATACATCTTGTTGTGTGTGTTTTTTCCTCTCCGCGGGGCGAAGCAAGGCTTAGAATCGTTTGCCCCGAACACCAAGCCCATGCCTTTGCCTTTGCGATAGCGCACAGTGTCTGTTCGATGCAGCGATTTATTGGGGAGGGGGAAAGAAGGAGAAGGCCCCAAAAACAAACCCCAGGCAACCAGCAAGACCTTGGCCTCAGGCAACAGAACCTCGCCGCGAACAAGAGCGGCAGCGTCTTTGTCGGCGGCCAGGCGGACTGGAGCCACTGGGCCTACTTCCCGCCGGGAGCCCCAAACCGCGTTCCGAGCTTGCGGCCGCTCGCTCCCGGCCGCCGGGCCGCCCGCTCCCGGCGTCGCAGTGTTTTTTGCGTTTTTGTTTTTTTTCTTGGGGGGGGGAGTGTGATATGTTGGTTGAACTTTAGGTATGTTTGAGCTGCTGCGAAACCAAACGTGTGTTTCGAGCGGTTGAATGCTTTTGGATACGTTTGACCGAAGTGTGTAGTGCCCCATGTTTCATGTTTTTTGTTGTTTTCCACACTAAAACTCTAACCCCACAAGGGCTCCCCTCTACCAAGGTCAACTTGGTTGGGTGTTCATAGCCCTGGAGACTTTGCGATAAGCCGAGAGGTCCAGGAGTCCAGGAGTCTTTTTTTTGTTCTTTCTCGCACACCTTTCTCTTGCCAATGCCGGCCCAGTGGTTTCTCAGTTGCTCAAAGCGAATCGTATTTTTGACCTTTGGGTTTCCCTATGTTGGTCCATATTTAGTCATGGCCTCCGGCAGGTTAACCTTTTGTTTCTGGGTCGTTTGGGCAACTGAGGTTTTGAATCATGGGATAGAACTCCGGCAGGAGCACTGAAATGGTTCGCCTCGGCCAATGGAAACTCCACTTGAGAGAGCCTGGATTCATGATTCCCCTGTAAATACCAAGCAAATAAAGGTTCCCCGTGGTTTCAAAGTGGTGCATGATTTCGTCCATCCACAGTATTCCCCCCTGCTGCATCCAAAGTGCGGCTCCAGAACTCCCAAACACTGCACTCATTTCGGGCAAATGGCGAGCCTCCTTCACCGATCCCGGGGGTACCAAGAAACGCCCATGGGTCTGGGCCCAGGGGGCTTCCTTCTTTCTGACTTGCGTACATTGATTCGCTGAGATGGTTGCATTCAGCAAAGGCGACCGGCTGAGGAACACCAAGCAGCTCCGGAACCAGTATGTGGCCAACGTGAACTTGGGCTATCCCATGTGCCTGTCCACATGCCCGCCCAAAGCGGTGAGGAAAGCCATCTTCGTGTGAGCCATTTGGGTTCTTGCCTTCCCCAGCGACGGGAACCGGCCTCGTTGAGCACCTGGTTTTTGCTGGGAGTCCAAGACCTTAAATAGGTGCCTCAAGGACCCCGAAAGCTTCAAACAAGGCCCCAGCCCAAACGAGGGCGAACAGGTGCCACATGGCGCCGCTGGGACCAAGTCTGCACTCCCTCATGAGCGCTTAGTAGGCTAGAGGTCCTCACAGGTGCTAGGCCTGCGAGTTGAAATGGTGTGTCGCGATTTCGGCGACTGGGATGCGACTGAAGCAAACCGGAAAGCTCAACCAAACCGACCAAAAACAACCAACCAAAGGGTGAAATCACCTTTTTTTCTCAGGTCATTGGCTCACTTTTGATCGAGCGGATTGCCCCAGCAAAGTCCAAGCTTTCTGCAGTTTCCGACTGAAATTAATGTCTTTCCACATGCAACTAAGCGAGCGGAAACTTCCCTGCTCTGAGCTGTTGGCAAAAAAGGTTCGGTTCCAACATAGCTTTGCCATTGGGATTGGGTTCATCCCGAATGTTGCATGGAGTTCGCTCAAGTGCTTAAAAACACAATGCTTGGGAATGTGAATCTCCATGCTCACAATCCCTCTTCGTGGTATCTTCGAAATGCCTTTCAACACGCCAAACCAAAGCGAGGCCAAGCGACAAAACGTTCCAACTTTCGAACACCAAACAACCAACAAGGACAAACCTAGGACCAACAGGATGTGAACCTGCAACCTCCCGCAGCCCTAAGCGGGCGGGCGCGCTGTGGCCCCCTTCTCGATATGAAAACTGAGATTAGAAGAAACAAAAGGACAAACATGTTTTTTTTTTAAACTTTGTGAGCACTTGGTTGGTGTGTTTTGGGGGTTCCCTTGTTTTGGGACAAACCCATTTTCTCAGTTGCCGCTTCTTTTGGGCGTTTGGCCCCTTTTGAATGCAGGCCCAGAGGCTCGCGGGTGCGGAGGAAAAGAAAGTGGCGGCACGGCCCGTGGACATCCACCAGCCAATCGTGGTTGTTGTTGGGAAACATTTTTCCCACTTTTTCTTTCTTGTGGTTTAGTGGTTGGAATCCAACCACTTAACTGCTGAAATTTGAGGATTTTTGCTCCCTTCCAACGTCCTCCAAGCAATTGGGAGGGTAGTCCTTGGTTGAAGTTCATGGTACTGCGGATGGACAAAATCCATTCCGCACGGATGTGAAATCATGGGAAACTCTTGTTGGCATTTACAGGAGAATAAGCATTCCAGGGTTTCTTAGGTGGTATGAGATTTCGTCCATCTACTGTATGTGTCTTTTTCCGAGAGCACGTGTTTCTTTTTTGGTGGCTTGTTAACGGCAAGCATTTGGAGCACCACAATTTGTTGGGGGGTCCCCTGCAAGCAACACCCAAATGATATGCTTTCTTTGCGAAAGGTTGGGGAGAGTACCTCAAACAAACAAGCGATTTTTGCCCGGGGATGTCGAGGAGCTTGTCTCGTCGTCTCGTGAACTGAAAGGGTCACTGAGTGTGTCACTGGGAAACTGGGGTGCTCATGATGAACTGTTCGGCTCCACGCAGGGCTAATCTTCATAGGGAGGGGAAATCATATACAGTTTTAGCGAGTTTTGTCACAGACTTGGTGGAACAAAGTCGTCAATCCACTGTGGACATGCTTGATCTTACCTGCAATATTGCGGGGACCAACCGTGCCTGTGCAGCGCGCTTTGGTTCCAAATTGTCAGGCTGCACGGAGGGCAGCGAGGATCAATTGAACGAGTGTGTGCTACATGAGCCGCCCACAGATAGTCCCCCTTCGTCTCGCTTGCCGACAAGCGAGCATTCGAACTTCTTGGTTCGCCTTTGAAGTCGCGACGTTGCAGACATCCAGTTTGCACACTGGGTGGTTGGCGCACAAGCAAGCCGAGCGTTTGCCAACTCGCAGCCATTTCCATCTCAAGTGATAAACCTCGCCCATTGGACTATTTTGACTCTCCTGATATCGAACTTGACAGTGGCTCGGCGCATTGAGAAAGAAGTTGAGTTTTGATCGGACCATTTCTGCCTGGAATTGGATAGTCATACTTATTTTTGATCCGCAACGGAGGACGTGGTTTTCTTCCCAAAATCGTGGCAGATGCATAGAATTTCCTCACAATAATGAGGAAAATGGCTACCTTTCCCATGTCCTCTTGCAGCAAAAAGTAATGCCGACCAAAGCTCACATATGGGACGGGCTAGGTGTCACAATCGCAAATCTTTCTTCCATCCTTCACCCGCCCACCCGCATAGGGAGAGAAGGTTGTAGCGAGGTTGCGCATGTCGCTGCATGTCGCTGCCCCCATTCCATTTTCTTGCTTGTGGAAGCCTGGTGTCACGCACGCCCAAAGGGTCGTTTGGAACGAGATACTGACTTCCCACGCGGGGTGCGTTGAAGATTTCATCACCTAAGATTGAGCCTCAGCAAAGCCCAGAGAGCCGAGCAGGCTCATCAGACGACTTGGGTCCACGGAGGGATACACCGTGTGTGCTTTGCCTTGGGTTCTGCGGGTCCTCGCACGCAAGTTTCGAAGCACGAGCATCAGGACAGGTTGATCAGGGCTCCTTAAATGATCTCCATTTTGCAACCATTTTTGAAACACGGCTTTTTCCACCCAAACAAAGGGAAACCGCCATTTACAAGGCAATGTTCAGGTGTATAATGCAAGGATCCCTGTTGATCAAGTTTGATTGGAACCGCCGCGGGGTGCGCAACGTGAGGGGCTTGCTTGACTCATGCGCCTCCCTCCCTGGTGCAGTTGGCCAAGCCTCACTGGTTTCAAGCTGTCCTGATCTGACGTGTAGCTTACTGCATCTGAGTCACGACTGGCTTTAAACATTCGTCAAAGAACCTGGGCGCATGCGACATCTTTCTTCTCAGTTGTTCAAAGCCGACCTTTTGACCTTTTGGTTTTCCCTGTTTGGTTTATTTTTAGTAGGGGTTCAAAAGGTTAACCTTTTACTGATGGGTCCTTTGGGCAAGTGAGTCTTCTTTGGTGTGAGGATTGAAACCAGCGGCAAAGCCCATTTGACCTCGCGGATTCAGCTGGAACACCAGCAAGTCAGGCATTCCCTGCCCCCAGCCGCCTCTTGTTTCCAGTCGCTTTGAAGCTCTGGGGGTTTGAGGGCCCGCCGTCCCTACCTGCCATTTGAGAAGACCATCGAATGATCCGCAGCTTCTGCCTCGTTTCGTTTCCCCAGAGAGGAGGGGAAAAAAAAACTTCAACGCGGCGTCCGGTTTTTGTTTTTCGCCTTTCGGGTCGCACAACTCCATGGCTCTTCGCCCGTTTTCTTTCGCTGTGACGTTCTGAGGGTTCCTGGACTTGGGTGTTGCCAGATTCGCAGCTCTAAACGCGGGTTTCCTCGTGTTTCGGCGGCGCTCAATCTGATTTCCCCACAGCCGACGTTCAGGGGCCTTTGCCATACCCGGACTTAGTTTTTTGGGATCCTCAGATGGGAAAGGCGGAAGCTAGGAATTCTTGGGTTCGCGAGGCGCATTTAGTTTGGGGTCAAGCCTTGGAGTGGGTCTGGAGGGAGGTGGGTTTGGAGGGAGAGGGTCTAACGTCCTTTCGGCTCTCGCTTGCACGCGGTATGGTGGGAAAAAACGACGCCCCTGGGCCCCCCTGCCCAAATGTGGCCTAATGTTGGTGCCAAGGCCTTCAGAAAGTACAGATCTCAGGGGAACAACTTCTTTTTGAAGCAAACAACGGTTACACAACATTCTGGAGCCAACCGCAAAAAGGGTAGCTCCCCCAAAAAGGCGCCCAATTGGCGAAACCGCCTGGGCAGCTGAAGCAACCACAAGGCCATGGCTGAGACTACGCCTCTGATCAACCAGCCGGGGGCGGACATCTCGGCGATCTCGGACAAGGAGGTGCGACACGGCGGCTTGGCGTTTCCGTGGCTTTGCAGCCATTTGTTTGCCGGGAAATTGAATTTGAAGGACTCCGGGGGAACTGGGGGCAGTGGTGTTTCCAGCGACCTTTTCTGTAATAAACCCCAGATGTGTCGCAGTCACGGAGATGGCACACTTTGGTAATGTTGGTATCAAAGAAAGGCTTTCTCACGAGCATGCTTCCAGGCCCTAGGAGGCAAGAAAGAGAGACACACGTCACCCTTCACACCTCAGGTCACCAGGTGTTTGGCTATTCTCTGTTTTTTGTTTGGCTTCTGTGGTGGTTTTTGGATTTGGATTTGAGCCCCTGGTTCCTGTAGAGGGTAAAAGGGAAACTGCCCTGAACCACCAAACCAGCAATCCAAACCACCAATTAGGGAAGCTGAGTCAGGAGTTCGGGGCCAGGAACTTCCGCTCCGGACATTTTCAGGAGGGCCCTAAACCAATGCAAATCGCTGCCAACGCCCCGTGGCAACGAGCGGGTTCTATTATTCCCAAACTTGCATTGAAGTTGGGGAGAACATGATGCCCTATGTACAGTATGTTGTTTTGTTGTTCATGGCCACTGCGCAAAACACCAACTTTGAAGGTCGAACACGACAAGGTGGGCCAAAGTTCCAGGGTTCACTTTCAAACACAAGGCCGGCCGAAGCGGCTTTTTTTCTCGCCTTTTCGGCATGAGTGGTGTTGGCTCTTATTTTAGAGTCGCCATGTTTAAATAAAAAGAATCCGCGGCATGTTGTCGTTTTTTGCCTTAGGCATTAGTGGTTGGCTTTTATTTTAGAGTCTCATTTTTTGTTTTTTTAATCCCCCAGCAAATCCCCAGCAAAGGACACTCCTTTTGGGGGTAGTTGCTTTTGGGGCCCCATGTTCATGCGAAGGGATGTGCAGGGACCTTTTTAGCAAGACTTGGCAAGTTGATGTTGGACCGCTTCACGCGGCCGGCCGGAGCCGAAATACCGTTGAGGTGCAGGCCCCCCAGAGAAAAAAAAAAAACAAAACAAGCTTTCATTGAGCAGTGATTAAGCCTTACATTGGCAACTTACAGCAAGGCCCCAGATAGACCTGTGTAAGCATGGTAGCTTGT